AAAAAATTTTGTAAGTCGTGTTAATAGTGGTATTTAAAAAAAAAGTTCCGTAATTTTAAGTTTAATTTTTTTTTTTTAATTTTAATTTAGACGCTGCTCTTCAGACACTTAAGTCTATTCTCTAACCCCAATCTCACCACTATGAAAATTTAAAAAAAAAAAAAGTTAAAATGAAAATTTTGACTCCTTTAAAACATACAAGTTGTCTGTTTTATCTCTCCCCATTCATATTTTTACGTATGTTAACAACTTTTAATTTATTCAATTTGATCTACATTCTGCCTTATTACTAAAATCAATATAGCCCGAACAAGAGTACACAATATTCCAGAGCGCTCTCCCTTATCAATTTTCGGAAATCGGAACTAGATGGCGGATAATATTTATGACGTGAAGTGAGAAAATGAGACAAAACTAACCAAACATAAACATTGCGTTTTTCTCATAGTCTCATAGGATGGATTCAGAAATTATACAGGGGGTACAGCCCCTGAGTAAAGGTTTGTTAAAAAAAATAAATTTAAAAAAATGCTGCATAGGGCCTAATAATAGTGATTATTGTTGTGTAAAACTATTTTAAATTGCAGATAAAATTGTGTTCTCTTCTACTTCTGGCCTCACTATCATCAATATATGTCAATAATCATTGAATAATCATCTATCAGTGATCACTCAGACTCAGAGTGAATCACTGTATGATATTGAAATATGTAAGACTAAGTAAGACTGTACTATATAAGAGTCAACTCTAATTAATTAGACTGTCCTCTGTACTGTTCTGTTATAGTTTGTAGATTTAAGTGTTGCCATGTAGTCATTGTAGTTCATGTAGTGGAGACAGTTGAGTGCACAGCACTGACACTCACAGCAGTGTTGGTAGTTGGTAATAAATGAACTGTTTGAAGGCTAAGGCATCTGAATTTAAGAAATCTGAGCCTTAATCTGAAATCACAATCACCAATTAGGCTATTATGAATCACTGTTACTGTTTGTTGTAGTATGGGCTGCATTATGACTGTGACTGTGTGGTTGTATACTAATGTATATGATAATCATCTGATTAGTATTCATAGTATTCCTGCTACTAATAGTAATACTGATCTAATAAAATAAGGGAAGCATTATACTGATACACAGTTGGCTGGGAATAACTCTCAGCATTTTCCCCAGCCGATACATGGTTTACTATGATGGTTAACAATTAAAAAAACCAAACATATAAGCATTATGGGCTGTAATGAATCTATAATTTGTTTTAATTTTAACAGACTTTATAATTAATAATTATGATAAACAGTCAGCTGGAAATAACCCTTAATGTTTTTTCCAGCCGACTGTGAATAATGATAATCATAATGTTCAGCATAATTCCAAGCTGATAAATGGTTCACTACTGACTAGCTCAACAATATTCCCACCTGACTGAATAATCACTCCCATAAAATAAAGACTAGCCTATTAAAAATTACTTAATTAAGTTACTGTAGTGTGGTAAATTTCATCCTTCGCATTTAAAGATGAACACAGCTATATTTGACAATAAGTAGGTAGGTGTCTTGCCATTTCAATTTGTGCCTGGAAAACTTGTTCTCATGTAGGACACATGTGTCTAGGGGTCCTAGATGGATTGGAGCAATTCTGCTTTCCTTGCTGTGCACTTTTCTTTGGTCATGAGCGATACATTTACTTTCTGAAGATTGTGCTCCCAACAGTGTGAGTCTGCCTCACCAGCTTGTGCAAATGAAAGCAAATGTTAATCATGTGTTCATGTTGTTGTTCATGGATTTTGAAGGACAGTTTAAGACAGTCTTCAAAGTGTTTATTTCTGCTCATGAGCTGAGAGTTTCCCTCAGGACAATTCATTTTACATTAGTTTATTGTAGTACTTTTGCATCAGAGACATAGTCCTGCCACCAAATGAAAATGTCAAGAATTTTGTTTAAACAGAATTGATGGTTTAAATTTCTAGCAAGTCTAATGTACACAGCCCATGTCTCACTATCGTATAGGAGAGTTGTTAATATAACTCCCCTTTGTACCTTGAGGGTAGTGATAAGACGGAGACTTACAAGGCTTCACCCGGGGGTCTTAAGGTTATTTAAATTTAGCCTTAATACCATTGTAGTAAGGGCCTATTACAACTATATACTTCTTATTATTAATTAAACAAGACTAAGGCCAGGGCATAAATAAAAAGTCAAATTTAAGTAATTTAATTAATTAGTCTTAGAGGTCATCCATAAATGATGTCATACATCTGACATCTGTGGGGAGCATGGGTCACTCATTTGTGATGATCTATTATGAGGGTGTCTAAATTTTGTAATAAATTTGTGACCATATCAGAATCTGTCACAATAGCCTGACATTACTTATGGATGGTTCCTAAATATAATAAATAAACTTAAAATAGGTTTATAATTTTTTAAATAAACTAATAGCCTCTGCTCATTCTAACACCTGCCTCAATTTTTTTTAAATGTAGAAGTGATTATATATAGTACAGTGAGAAACCCCTTGTACTACAAGCTGTTCTTACCATGGCTACAATTTATCCTAGTTTTTAGAAAATTGATGTGTGTATTTGTGTGTATCTTGTTTGATTTTTTAGATTTTTGTTGCTTTGTACTGTTTGTGACTTTGTAGTCTAATGATAGAGTACACACTTGTAATGGCTGCATTTGAAATTTTAAAATAAAAAACATGAAGCAATGGTCTGTGAAGCAAACAGTAAGAGGACTTTTGGGTTAATTATTATTTTTAAGTACATCATTTAATTATTTAACTTTTATTGTATTATGTTTTAAATGTTTATTTACGTCACTTGGTGAAACTCTCATTGTATGTTCAGTAGAAGAATTAGAAAAAGAACTGAACCAGCTGAGAAAAGAAAAATCTGACCTCGAAACTGATTTTGGACTGAAACGGGCCAAATTTAGAGAGCTTTTTCTCCAAAAAGAAGGTAACTTTAAGATATCCATGGGATAAAAATTTAATGAATTCATTTTTTGTCATAGGGATTTAAATATGGCATATGGTCTTTCCAACATAAAAGATAGATTGGTAAGGAACTAAGTAACCAAGCATGACTTGCTTACATCGATCAAGGGATCTTGTGCAATAATACCACTTAATTAGGAAGTAATATTAAAAATCTGAAAATATAATTTGATTATAATAATGATATCACAGATTGACACATTTAGTTTGTACAATAAAATTTAAGTTGTTCATATGCATTTATTACCAGTCCTTCGCACCCAAGTACTGTTCAGGATCTGTCAGTTTCATAAACAGACACTGTGCCACTTCCAGTCTTTTCTAAGTAGTGTACTTGCCTAAAAAAGGCAAGACTGGCTCATAAAAGTGTGTGTGCTAATCATCAAAATGCGCACTCTCTCCCTTCCCTATTTCTACATGCACTGGTAATTGTGGATTCTAGTTTGAGGGGAGCTCAGTACTTATGATCAGCCGTGAAACATAAGTGTTGTAGTCATTTATTTATGTATCATTATCAGATGAACTGAAAAAAGAGCGAGAGAGATGTCAGACTAGTGATGAGAAGGTGAAGGCAATGGAAGATGAGCTGGTGAACATGAAGGAAGAAATGGATAAAGTGCGTTGGGAACTGGAGGGTGTGAGGACAGCAGCAGCCATGTCAGAGAGCAATAAGCAAGAAGAGTTGAGCAGTATAATAGCCAATTACCAGCAAGAGCTAGCAAGCTTACAGCAGCTATTAAAAGGTAGGTCTTTATGAATTAGTAACTAACAGTTGTTGAGTGTTAAAATGGAACTTAATTCTGCACTGATGTTTGAATGTTCTGACAGGATGAGCCATGGAAAATTTGTTTATGAGTTACTCACCTCCTTGTGATTGAAATTTATTAGCATACAGAGTCACACACACAAATACTTTTATTAAATGTCCTTCATGGTCAGCACTGCAAGACTAATAAAGCCAAAGGTCTGGCGACAGTTTTCATATTTGTATTTTTTTTTCTTATGACTCAAAATCTTGGATTAAAATTGTTTGGCACGCTATTCTATTGAAGTATTTGGAAAACTAGTGTCTGATGTAGTGTGCAAGAGAATGATTGTTGTTAGATATATAATTTGGATTACAATGTAGGTGCTATCTTAATTCAAATTGGCCTATATTATTTAATTGAAATGCCCCTGAAACCTTTTTTTTTGTTAAAGAACAAATCTATGAATTTAGTTCAAAATTTGGCAAGACATGCATATTAAATTTCTTGTTTGTTATATGTATATATGTATATATGTATATATGTATAAATATGTAATAAGTCTTGTGACAGCCATTCTAAAATCTAATGTCTTATTTTTGAAACTTGGGATAAAAACAACATAACCATAATTTGAGTTTCTCCTACCACTTTCAGCTCTGAAATTAGAAGTAATCACTCAATAAAATGTTGTCTTTGGTTGATATCAATAGAAGCAGCAGAGACCGCATCTGACAACACAGCAGCCAGGTATGAGTCTGAAAGAAACAAGCTGGTTTCACTTAATGAAAACTATGAAGAAGAAATTCAAGAGCTGCGAAACAAGCTAAGTCAAGAAAGGTAAATCATGTTTTAAAAAAATATATAAATAACATTATTGTGATTGTTAGTTCATTGTTGTTCAGGGTCATGTTGTTATATTATTATAATTTAATTTTCTGTCATTTATAATTTTTTTAAATTTTCAAAGGCTAGAAATACTTATTTTTTTGTGTATGAAACACAATGAAAAAGCTCTTATCCTAGCTTAATATGATAGTTGGGAACTAGAGAAATATGTACGAGTTGTGTTTTTAAAAAAAATTTAAGCTATAAAATGACTTTGAAAACTTTTAACAATATTTATTGTGAAAACTTTTAACAAAAACCATATTTAACTTTTATTTTCATCTTGAACTTTTGCCAACTGAAATTAAAATGATAATAAAATTTAAGTAACGCATCTAAAAAAAAATATCACATGCAGCTCTTTGTTTCTTTCAGAGAAGGTTTTCTCTCAACAGTGGCCAAGTCTATCAAACGTGTTGGAGGGTCGGCTAACACAAGCCTGGAGCATGAAAATCTTGAGGAAAGCATGAGAAAGGTCAGCGGTTACTTCGCTTATTAATGTCTCTATGTGATTTTGAAATGAACTTTATTATTATTATTTAGCGTAAATGAATTTCAGTGAGTCAGTGACGATTAATTAAAGTTGATCAGATGTAGTCTTTGTCAAGTTTTCTTTTCTTGTTATTGTTGTTTTTTAATGGTTTGTTAACTGGTGCAATAATTTTGTGAATTATACATTTTTTCTGGGGGGATTTAGTTTTAGTTCAAAATGACAGATTTAAAAATACCATTGTGGTTGGCTGTAGTAAAATCATCTATTTAAACGAACTTAACTTTCATGGTGTAAAACAAACTAAATGTTTAAGATTTGAAGGAGGTTCAGCCCAGTTTAAAAACATATAAAATCTAAAGATTATAATTTAAATTGCTTTCTGATATTAAAAAAATTATTTACCTAAGGTATTTTACATACTTTCAAGGTTTTTTTTCAATATACATATGTTAAGATGTTGGCCACTTTGGAAATGCATACATTTTAAAAGAAGAAATAAAATAATTGTTAATATATGTTGAAGCAGCATTATCACATCCAAAAACATTTATCCTAAGGCCCAGGAAGATGCTCAGATCTTGAAATCAGTGGTGGTGCCCTTGGAAACAGAAATCAAAGCACTCAAAGCGAAATTGGAAGCCGCAGAAACAAAAATATCTGAATACCAGAAAAAACATCAGGTATTTCAAATAATTATAATTTTTTTTTAATGTTTATTTTTGTAGTAGATATTACAGATTTATTTTTTTTATCTATCATGTTATTTTATGCTCCCAATGGCTCGTGTTACCTGTTTCAGAACAGTCCTGAGAGAGATAGAAAATCACCATCTCTTCCTGACCTGGATTCCATATCGGACTTGCATGAGAAAGTGAGTGAGATTTATTCTTGTTACTTCAAACTTGTCTACAATCTAAAAATGCATTTAAAACTAATAAAAACTTATTAAGCATTACTGATCCCATCATTAAAACTGTTCATTTCAACCCCCCCACCCCACCCAAAACTAATCTTAAATTGTTTACTTTGAAAATACATTTTTCACTAACACACCACCAAAACCAAAAAGCTCACCAAACCAAACATAACCTTTTATTGTGTAAGACAAGTACTGAGATAGAACTCAATGGTCATCAGCAATGTTTATTTCTGGACTGTGGTGGCACAATCTTTAGATGGACTGGGCTGCAGTTGTTACAATTTGTTGACTTTTCTTCAGGTTGAGAAGCTGTACAGTATTCTTAAAGCAGAAAAAGCTGCCAGAACAGATCTAGAGATGTATGTTGCTGTGCTCAGCACTCAGAAATGTGTGCTGCAAGATGATGCTGACAGAGTCAGTGCCCAACTGAAAGAAGGTGAACTTATAGTTAGTTTTGATTGTTCTTGTCATTTAGTGCCAAATTATTGTTCGACAACCAATCGACATCCTTACCAATCTTCACACAAACTTTTCAAACATTGATATATTTTGTATAATATTTGTATATTCTCTGTTTATAATTTTGAATGATTGCAGAATATTGTCCTAAGGCTGTAGTTTAGCTATAGCTCCAGAAGTTGTTTAAAGATCAATAACCGAAAGCTTTGTTACATTCACAGTCTGTAACTTACTTGAAGAAGAGAAGCAGTCCCATGAAGCTCTCAAACAAACCTGGCAGATGGCCAATGACCAGTTCTTGGAATCACAGAGACTTATGATGATGGATCTCCGGCGGATGGAAGGTGTTCTCACAACAGAGCAACAAAGGCAAATAGCAGGTGGGTGTAAAATAACTAGGTTAAAGGTGTCTATGATGATTCTCTGCCGCCACTTCACCATCGCCAATTCACCGCTGCCGTTTTGCCACTGCTGTTAGCTGGCTCCGGGCCATTTTGCTGACAGCAATTTTGGAGATAATGATAAAGAAATTATTTTAATTCTAAAGTGATAATTTGAAGACACGGGTTATTTAAGAGATCTACAACCATAAAGTCTTGTACAACACAGATCACAAAAGAGATCAAAAATTCGTTTTTAAAAAACAAAATAACTATTTGATTGAAAATGTCAACGCTATTCGCAAGGAAGAGGAAAACCATGCATTGACATGGCCCTGTATAAACATGATCCGATTTTCAAACCACAGTTATCTCGCGTTATGGCAGGGTTCCACTTCACTGACACTGACCCCACTTGTGTTACCATACTCTGTCAAAAATGCGGGGGGGGGGGGGGGGAAAAGCATAACACCATTAGGTACTGCACCACTCCTCCAAGTACTCAGAGATGTTTTATATGGCCAAACCTATATATCAGAGGATGAACTGTGTCACAGGGGTTGGAATAATTTTCTGTATATTTTTGTACACCAATGATCCTTGCCATGGGCATTGCATATAATAATACAAATTAAAGAAAGTGGGAGTTCGGATAACCACCATTTCTCATTATCATAGTTCGGAAAATTGATGCTCTACTATATTATCCCTTTTGATTTTAAAATAGTTTCTGTATCTTGGTCTGCAAAATGGCAGTTGACGAAATGTCCTGTCTGCGAAATGGTGGAAGCAAAAGGGTGACAGAGAATTGTCTTATCTCCGGTGCATACAATGGAGGCAGGTGAATGTGTCCAGTAGGGATAGATGAATATATTCTTGGTTTGTAGTTATTTTTATGGTGGTGTTTCATGGATGGCCAGGGGACGGAAATTTAGGTTGGTTTCAATGGCAGTCAGTTGAGATTTTTCTAGTTTGGTTTAATGAAAAGCTGTGGAAGGAAAGTTAAATATGATAAGCTGACATTAGACGGGAAATATATTGTCCCCATTTACACACATGACACTTGGCATCATAATCTTTTGTTCTTCACTTTTGGTGCAAGATTGTTTTGAGATTATTGTGTAGGAAAGTAATGGGTAATAAATTTTTAGTATCCTTAATAGAAAAAATTTGTTACGTTTATTTAAGTTTTTTTGTTTTCTATTCATCATTCACAAAACAACATTTATTTGTGAATTTTCCTGCAGCTTTTGCCTCCTGTTGCATGATGTGTCCTGTTGATTTGATTTGATCTGCAGATGAAAATAGGGCTAGTGCCATTGAAAACTCTAAAATGCCAATAGTGGTTTTGGATAACTGTTTAAATGACTCTGGCTCTGAAGGGAATAAGAAGAAAAGTAAGAATAAAACCAGAACAAGGAAGCAGCAGCCAAATGATGGACCTAGTAAGGCAACCCCACAACCCAGTACATTACACCCTTCCCATCCTTCACTTTTCTCTCAAAAGCAGATGCTAATCTGAACCAGCTGCCCAGATTTTGTCAGATGTTTAGATACAGTTAAATAAAATTCACTTAAAAAAAAAAAGTTTTGAGTTTTAAAAGAAAAGAATAAAGCTAAGGAGAGAACCAAAAAAAAAAAAGAAAGTAGAGCAAAGCTGTCACTGACACATTCTCTTATTTTCATTTTGGAAGAGCTTTTTTTTTCAGAGTATTTTGACATAGATAATTTTTTAACACATTTAATACTATGTTGATATATTAGGTCTTAAGAAATTTTGTGAAGACCATAGCCCATATTTGATAAGTTCATTGAAATGCTTAAAAAAAGAAGCAGAATTGAGAAATCTTTGCATATCATGGATGTGTTTTCTTTTACTCCCTTAATTTTTGTCATGTTTTATTTTCTCCATTTTAATAATTACATGATTAAAAAATTGGAATTCTATTTAAATGTGCACACAAGTATAACACTACAGGGACAATATCTCATTGGGTGGAAGGAACACTTGTGAAATACCCCAAAATGTTGACCATCCAAAAAAAAATTCCTACAAAAATAGATCTACTTAAATAATCATAAATGAAAAGGGAAAATGTATGGGAGGCTGTTACATCAAATGTATGGGAGGCTGTTACATCAACTTTTGATTAGTGGCTAGAACTTCACAGCAAATGTATGCACAGCCTTATGAACTCTCCTTTACCATCAAACCTTTTTTTGAATTGCTATGTGTTGTTAATATCTTATACTTATATACCTTTTCATGGGAATCTCAGTTGTGTTGGTAATATCTTGTATACCTTTTCATGGGAATCTCAGTTGTGTTGTTAATATCTTGTATACCTTTTCATGGGAATCTCAGTTAAAGCAGAGAACATATTGTGTCCATTAATATTTGTTCTCTTTTACCACAGTCAAACCCACTTCTTACACGTCAAAAACTAATTGTTATTTTTAAAAAGTTTGTTATTAGTCATTAAGATTAAAATCTCATGAATTCATTATTAAAAGCATCAAGAGTTTTGGTATCCTGAAACGTTTTTTTATTAATGTTTACTTTATTTTGTTTTCTCCTGCCAATCCCATCCATTGCTGACCCACTTATCCCCTTAACTAAGATTGATTTTATTTTCCCATTAACATATTGAACCAAAACTCTCTCCATGACAACACACAACATCCCCCCCCCCCCAATCACTGTTAACTGAAATCTATTACTGTTGACAAAATTAAATATAATGACCCAAATGGGAGAATAGTGTAACAGACAAATACTTGAATTGTTCCAATAACTTTAAAGTTATTCAATAGTCAGTTGTGCTAATCACAAAAAAAAAAAAACAAGCAATACTTGGGTTGTTCCAGTATCCAAAGATTCGCCAATAGTTGAGCAAAACAGAAGTTGTTAGCAACCCATGCCACTGATGACATTTCATTATTGAATTTTTTTTTGTTTAATTGTGCGACAAAATAATTATGTGTGACTATTTTATGAGTTGTGTTTTGATATTTTTTAACTTGATGCTCCCCCTCTCCTCCATTGCCGTTGTAGAATTACAGCAGAAAGATGAGGCCAGAGAGGCCCAAGAAAAGAAAGTCAAGGAGTTGGAAGAGAGGAGAGTGAAGCAAGAACGGGAGCAGGAAGAGAGAAGGAAATTAAGTCAAAGCAGAATAGGTGAACATTTTTATGTTTTTTAAAAGCTTTGTTATACAACCTCCACAGTATAAAGTCCAGTATAATGTGTGTGCATGTGTCCACTGAAATGTGTTTACAGAGATGACAGCTCTTATTATACAATCTCTAAAGTATCAAGTCCAGCATAGTGTGGTGTGTGTATGTGTCCACTGAAATGTGTTTACAGGTAGTCATGATAAAAATGGTTTCTGTGTGCATAGATGGGTGGAGGTTTCAATGAGACAAATTTCAACCCATTTTAACATTTTAAAATCTTGTTTCCTGTGGTGCAATGGTAACATTGTCTGTGGTGCAATGGTAACATTGTCTGTAGTGCAATGGTAACATTGTCTGTGGTGCAATGGTAACATTGTCTGTGGTGCAATGGTAACATTGTCTGTGGTGCAATGGTAACATTGTCTGTGGTGCAATGGTAACATTGTCTGTGGTGCAATGGTAACATTGTCTGTGGTGCAATGGTAACATTGTCTGTGGTGCAATGGTAACATTGTCTGTGGTGCAATGGTAACATTGTCTGTGGTGCAATGGTAACATTGTCTGTGGTGCAATGGTAACATTGTCTGTGGTGCAATGGTAACATTGTCTGTGGTGCAATGGTAACATTGTCTGTGGTGCAATGGTAACATTGTCTGTGGTGCAATGGTAACATTGTCTGTGGTGCAATGGTAACATTGTCTGCCTTCTTGATCGAACGTTAGTGGGCTCCAATCTTTCCCCCAACCTGTTGCTAAATACTCAGGTGGAATGGACTTGTTAACCTATCTTATAGTTAGTCGGCCTATCTTATAATTATTATCTTATAATTATTATCTTATAATTAGTTAACCTATCTTATTATGAGTTAACCTATCAAGGTAGCGTCTCTTGAACACAGCTGTTAAGCCTTTTCTCATGGAGGGGGTAAAGCCTTAATTCAGTCCTCAACCATCAAAGCTGGAAGACGGCAACAAACTTGGTGGGGGATGAAAAATGGGTTGTATATGAGAAATGGCCGCTCCAATAATCAGGAACATCAAAGAAACTGTGCAATTTTGTAATATATGGTGGTTGGTAGACGATGTGGCGTATATTCAAATAGCTTTTTAGCATGAAATGTAATATTTTATTTCTATTGTTAGCTGGAAGAGATTCAGACAGTGTTCCATTTATTTTATCATAGAATCGCCAGCCTTGAATATTTTCTATTGCTTTGTTCAACAAAAATCAAACAACACAACTATTTCTTTTCAGAAGAAGAAAGAAAACGTATGGTAAGTCACGCTTTTTCTTTTTACCCAGAGAACTGTTACAGAGGACAGAAGAGGGATAGATGGTTGTTTTGTACGGCCATGGGGGACAAGCTCAGCTCATGCGATGTGTCGGGGGGGGGTGAGAAAGCTGAGAAATAGGCTTTTGTTTCTTTGGAGTTGTGTTAGAAATTGTGGTTAGACATAGCACTTAGTTTATATGTGACAGTTTGTCAATTTGACCTGAGCTTTTTCTTTTTACCCAGAGAACTGTTACAGAGGACAGAAGAGGGATAGATGGTTGTTTTGTACGGCCATGGGGGACAAGCTCAGCTCATGCGATGTGTCGGGGGGGGGGGTGAGAAAGCTGAGAAATAGGCTTTTGTTTCTTTGGAGTTGTGTTAGAAATTGTGGTTAGACATAGCACTTAGTTTATATGTGACAGTTTGTCAATTTGACCTGTAAGACAAACCACACTCTGGTGCACCTCTGAGCACCTGTCACGGCTCATTGACATTCAGCCAGTGTGTATTAGTTTATATTAGGATCGAACTTCATGGCGTTTTACTTTGCACGGTAGCTCCATACAACATGAAGTTGGCAGAACAGTGGCTGCAGAGTGAAAGAGACATGCAAGGAAGACCTGGTCTGACTCTGCTCCCGGAGATGCGCCATCATTCCCCTGCACCTACTGCACAAGAGAATTTTGTGCCAGAATCGGCCTTATTAGCCATCTGCGCACCCACAGACAGAACTGCACAAACTCTGATGATTAAAGTGGTCATGGTCGACTTCCGACTGACGAACAACATACAACATTAGTTTATATGTGACGGTAAATTTGACCTGTAAAACAAACCACACTCTGTAGGTGCACCTCTGAGAACCTAGCATGGTTCATTGACATTCAGCCAGTGTGTCTTAGTTTTTATATCTGTTTGACTCCATTTCCTGAACAGGCAACAACATCACAACCACACTGTAACAACATACATAATAATGATATATATGTAACATCAGAGATGCATGTATTGTAACAATATACATAATATCAATGAACATCAACAACACAGCAGACACTGATACTGTAACAGCGTACTTATTAAGATGTTTCTCTTTGTTGTCTATTTCAGGATACAATTGTTTTCTATTGTAAGTTACAATCATTGTCTGTTGTAGGTTACAAGCAGGGGCAACAGTTCCCCGTTTGAAGTCTTGGCCTATGACACAGAGGGCGCCACTGCTACAGTTTCACCAAGCTCAACAGAGGTCAGGCGGTCTGCCTCCAGCTCTGACATCCACGACGGTTTTGAGGGTGATGATGATGCCATATTTCTGGACAGTGGACTCCATGAGACCCGCTCCTTGAATGAGGCGGACGGTGTTTTAAGTGGGTTGATATGTTTCTCCATGACTTTTTGATCATAAGTATGAGCGTTGGTTATTTATTCATCAGATGTGTAGTCAATGAAAACATGTTTTTTAATTTTAAAAAAATTATCATCTGCTTTGTTGATTCATCAGGAGGGAGCATGGATAGTATAGAAGGTATGACAACCATTCGGATCAGCCCGGAGAAGGTCTTAAATCTGCCATCTCTAACAGCAGCTCAGTTGAAGGCTATCACTGGTGAGTTTTGGGGTGGAAACTTGAGCTTGGCCAAGCAGGGCAAATGAAAGAGATTTTGTTGTTGGTTTCACACAGTAATCTCTTATAATATACAGATATTTGTTTGTTTGTTAAACACAGTACTCTCTTATAACATGCAGACATTTTGTTGTTTGTTTAACACGGTATTCTCTTATAACATGCAGACATTTTGTTGTTTGTTTAACACTGTATTCTCTTATAACATGCAGACATTTTGTTGCACAGCTACTTACTCCATTTGGCTGATGAGTTTTGATGGCAGGAGAGCTTATAGTTACAAATATTTCAGTCAAAAAAACAAAATAGTCCTGTGTTTTCTTACTATTGAAATATGACTGTATCTGCAGACCCCACACCTGAAACCGAGGCCTATAAATCACTTGTGGCTGGAGTTAAATCCAAACCATCTACAGGGAAACTCAATTTGGAAGGCAAAAGATTGGTCAGTGAAAAGGAATGGGCCCTGCTGCAAGAGGAAGTAAGTCCAAAAGCATACATTTCTCATTTATTTCTTCTTTCTCTTGGTGTAATGTATGCCTATATATCATCTCTCCAAACTTGCCAGTAAAAAATGCAGATAGATGCACTTGTTGATATTTGAGTATTTTTTACTTTACAAAGACGGTATTTCTGGTGAAACAGACCTATTTACCCTCAAACTCTTAAAATCGTACAATATCATTTACGTTATCTTTATAGTAAAAAAAAAACAACATACAGTATATATAATGTAAACACCTCCAAATCATACATTGTACGCCAAAATCGTAAGAGTATACAGGTGTGGTGAAATGAAGTTATGCGTAGAGTTAAATTATGCCAAACTTTTTTTGACTTTGATTCCAAATCTCTAGATGAAGACAGCCAGAGAGAAACTGGGAAGACCGTGTAGCATGTGCAAGAACTATGAGGCGCAGCTTCAGACAGTGCAGGAGGAGCTGAAGAACTTCAAAACAGAGATGAAACGCACAGAGAGGTCGCTGGGCACAGAGCAGCAAACCAACAAAAACTTAGTAAAGTACCAGTCAGAGTTGGAGGAGGCCCTGAAAAATGCAGCTGAAGATGCACAGTCTCAGGTAAAAGCACATGTGTGAAACCAAGGCTGTGATTTTTCATTCGTGTGTGAGTGTCAAGTATATAAATTCTGATTGAAAAATGTCCACAATAATTAACCATTGATCACATTGATCAATTTAAAGGTGCATTTAATTGGTATTTTTAAGTATTTTGAAATTGTTGCTTTGGTCTTAATATGTTTATTTTGAACAGTTTTTAATTGTAAGATACAAAACTTAATTGCTATTTTCTCTCCACAATTTTTTATCAGCTAAATAAAATCCAGAGCTATCTCTAAGAGGAAATTATTGCATTTTCTATTGCCATCCATGTTTCTAGAGTATTGAACCTGAACCATTTTATGGCCCTTCATCATTAGGGGTGTGCCGGACCCCGGTCCGGAATCCGGTTCCGCCGGATTTTGCACTATCCGGTGAAATCCGGTTCCGCCGGATTTACATGTATCCGGAACAACCGGATTCATTTCGGAATTTGCCAGATTTTGTGACTCACCGGATCATAATCTGAAATAAAAGTAATTCTCTTTCCCGAATTTCACACGATCACGATACATTAATCGATTGTTTCGAGCGGTGAGCTTGTTTAATGTTTAATATTCCGTACATACCAGAGGCTAGAGTCAGCACCGCTAATAGTGGCCAATAGTGTAGGGACTTTGATAAGAAAATTTAAACTTTTTGTAAAAATAAACCAATGGCATAGTTGAAAAGATGTAATTTTTTAAAGAATTATAACACCAAAATCATATTTTTAGCTGTTGTAGTTTTAAAGTTATGAATTTTTAAAGTACGACTTGGTTTGTCATTTTTTAACATGGACTGCATCTCCACATTCTGTGATCTCATTCCACCAATCCCGTCATGCGCAATGACTATATAGTTTATATAAGGCAACGCATTCCCTGCCTTATCACTAAAATACTGTTTAGACTTAGTTTAAACTTTCAACTTTGGCACATGAATAATTAATTAAAGCTTTCCCTGACCAATGGTTTAATAGTTTTTGCACACGGCAAACTCTTATGAATGAAACTCTGAGGTAGTACTACGATACAGTTATGCAAGTGGCTGTGAATGGTTGCCAATGACAACGTGTTGCACACGGTAAATTCTGATCATTTATAATATGGATTCTACCGGGTTGTTAAAGCTCAAATTAAAACATTCCAGTTTAAATGTCTTTAAATGCATTCTGAAACACAAGTTATCAATTATTTTGATGTAAATAGTGATAATAAATTAATATTTCCTAAGTATCGTCAACTTCCGCCATTAAAAAGGGGGGCGTGGCCAACCCCATGGCGAAATTAGGTTGAGCGAGCTGCATAACCTGCTGCGAACGCGTAGAAACATGGCGTCTCTCGTAAGACACTTATCCAAATGGAACGGAACTCAAATATATATCGAAAGTACTAATTTAATAATAAATAGACACACACATCGGAAAATTAAAAACTCGGATTTTTTGGCGCCGATTGCGAATTCCCATACACAAAAAGTAGTAGTCCACCTTGACTTACCGAAGTATCTACCAATAGTACCAAAATCCGGAATCCGGGAGAAACCGGAATCCGGATCCGGCGGATTTCGCATAAGAAAATCCGGATCCGGTTGGAAAAAACGGATCCGGCACACCCCTATTCATCATTAAAAGAAATTCAGTGGAGAAATTAAATTCCATCAAATCAGCTGTAAACATTTAATTTTTTTTTTTTTTAAATTATTTTTGTCTCATGAAGATATCCCATCTGACCAGCAAACTGATTGATTGTGAGAAATATGTGAAAGATATGAAAGATCAAATTTCTCGTACACACTCGCAACTCCAGGATCACTGCGTGAGTTGGTTTTGTTTGCAACCTGCCTTTATAATTAGGTTGCCACTTAGCTAAAGTCAACGACACTCTTTTGATTGATTTAATGAATTATTGGATAGGAAAATTACTTAAAACCATTGAGCTGTTGAACTTGTCTTAGATCCATCATCTTCTACTAAAAGATCTGTGGTGCAAACATATTTTGTTTCTACTTTCAGAAAACATTGATTGATGGAAGGCATGAAATTCAACTAGAGGTAACTGTGATTTTTCTCTCCGCATTGTTTCCACTCATATTGTTTATGATTTTTTTTTTTTATTGTGGGGGGAAAAAAAAAAAAGACTCTTTTAAACATTAAAGGTTTAAAAGAATTATATATCACTTTGTAGCATAACACTGCATGGCAAAACATCGACAAGGAATTAAAAGAGTATTTAACACTGAAAGATGTTTAACATATTATGTTTTTAATGGGACACAGCACTAACAAAAAGTGTACATTCAAATACTAAGGAAAGAATTTGAAGCTAACTAGAATAATGTTTCTCTGCTGAAAGTGTCTGTACATAGACAGGTAATCAATTGAGCCACTCATTCCCCAAATCTGGTCTCATTTGACTTTAAAAACAAAACAAGAAAAGTTATATTGCGCTTGAATGAAACAGAAAAGGTATATTGCGCTTGACTGAAACAGAGTTCTCACACTGAACATGTTAAATGGACATGTGTTGTATATTAACTTCTGTAGACTAATAACTAATAAGTTAAAAAAAATTTTAAGAACTAAAAAAATTAATAATTTTTTATACTGATATGAATTTTTTTTTTATAGTGCTAAAAAGGATTTTATAACATACAATTTTTATATTTATATTTTAATTTCTTGACAAATTATTATTTATCTCTTTGAAACAGCTGACTAAACTTCAGGAAGAAAATGACAGCCTTGTGGACAAATACTCAAAAACAGCTCAACAGCTACAAAATGAAGACATTAATTTACCCAATAATTTAGAGGTATTTAATTTATTCACTGTTGTCTCAATTCTGTCGTCTCGCCATTGTTTCAGTAAGCATTCTATCTTAAATATTTTGCATGTGAGAAGTGACTAGTTGATATGTGCTTAAATCAAGGTGGCTGGTTGTCATTTGTAAGCAATGGCATATCCAGAAATTTTTATGAAACAAAAATTTGTTTTAACCCTTTACGGGGCAGAGCGGCCGAAAACGTCTTTACCACTTAAAGGGCAAAACGGTCATAAAGCGTCCGTGACCACATAGTGTTGTTTTCTTGTGACCTCCGAGGCTTTGCGAGACTTCCTATTGTTTACATCCGGTTTTTCCGATAGCTAAATAGAGTAGGCGCCAGTTACAAGTATTTAATCGATTTTTTTTGTAGTTTTAGGGGTTTAAACAAAAAAATTTTTCGAAATGGATTTTGCCGATTATTTGCCTATTATTCAAGTGATAGCGGAGATTTGGCTGGATTCAATTTAAGTGACATTTAAGTGCACGAATTGACTGTAAATTGGAACTAGATATTAATATTATTAGTAATATTAGTGAAATCAGCGTAGTAAGCAGTGTTGAATTTTACAAACTTCGATTTTGTGACAGTGTTTGTCAATAATGAATAGATGACTCACAATCACAAACAATGTGTTGTTTTTTTGCAAATATTTGTGTTCATATGAGGATTAATGGCAAAATGTGAGTACAATAATAAATCTGTATTCATTTTCCTTTTTATTTCATGCAAATTTGTTGACTAACACCTTAGATTTGATTTTTTTTGTAACGTAACCCTAAATCTTAACTAAAAAACGGAAAAGTGGTGCCTGTTCAGGACATGCAAGAGGAAGTACCTCTGCCCCGTAAAGGGTTAAGGAAAATTGTTCAACTGAAGTTTGTTGGAATGAAAGTTTGTACCAATGTAATTTGTGTGAAGGGAAGTTTGTTCAAAATTGAATTTGTGAAATGGGGATTTATTTATTTTTAAAAAAGGATTTTTTAAGGGAAGGTGAGAGTGAGCAATGGTGAAAATGTAAAACTTTTTATTAAAATGTATTTATTTATTTACATTCCCCATTATTTAATTTTGAAACAAACTTTCTATCAAACAAATGGCCATTTGAATGAATTTACCATCAAACTAACTTCCATTAAACTTCTGTACTTTGAACAAACTTCCATTAAATTTCTGTCCTTTGAACAAACTTCCATTAAACTTCTGTACTTTGAACAAACTTCCATTAAACTTCTGTCCTTTGAACAAACTTCCATTTAACTTTTGTCCTATGAAGAAATTTCCATTAAACTTTTATCCTTTGAACAATCATCTTACTTACAAATTGTAACAGACTATGTTTTCACAAGAAAACAGAGAGGTAGCATGAGTGACGTTCATGAGTGACGTTCATTTTTGAGAACAAATGTGAGCTCCACGTTTTTGGAGAGTAAAATTATGTTTTTGTCAGAGCGGTTGTTTTCCACGCTTTGCTGGAAATTAAAGTATGAGTTGACTGAGATAGTCAGAGCTGAGCGCAGAGCAGTGGAGAACAGTAGAGTGAGAGCTGAGTTACGAGACAGTTGAGCTGAGTTGTAGCAGTGGGAGGACGTGTCTTTCTGAATGATGGAATACTATATATATATATATGTGAAATTACATTCATGCAAGGATTACTATTAATATTATCAGTATAAAGTGTGTTCAATAAAGTACTGTAAGTTTTAACCAGAATTGAGTATTCTTCTTTGCGTGCCTGGATAATAAGTGGAAGAATGAAGAAGTCTTAGTCGGCATCCTGAAGTATTAACATAAGTAACCATACTACTGAAATAACCCACTAAGTTACAAATGATGTCAGAGTATATGTGTTACACAAATTTATGACAACAAAACAATATTGACAACTTAGAATTTTAATGCTTAAGAAGAGGGTGAAAAATAGTCCATTTAATCACTTGCAGGAGATGCAGTTACTTTTGTTGAAATACAGAGAGGAAATCATCTCAGCCAAGGTGGCAAAGGAACACATAGAGGAGACACTGAAGAGCGAGATTGTCTTTTTGAAATCTCAGGTCATGGGAGAGCAACAGGAGAAGACAACTCTTGAAGAAACACTCTCACAAGAAATAAGCTCTCTTCAAACACAAGTTGGTAAGGTGGAGAAATGATTGTTATTTTTTAAATTTTTATATTGAGTATTTAGAAAAAACAACAAATATTTAGATCATGGGGCACTTCTATACAAATTTGTATGACATTGTTAACTATTGTCTGCAGGCTTGGATACTAGAATGCTGAGTCTCATTGAGTTTTTTGACTACCCAAGTTTGTGTATTCTTTATCTAATTATATAAGTCGCCTGCAGTTTCTCCCCTTAAAATTAAAGTTGTTAACTTAATTTGTGTGCATTTGTGGGACCTATGATTGTTAATGAATTGAGATAAGAATTGAGCAAGAAGTTTACGGGTATGTGAAATTAGGATACCAAAGCCTCTCTCACACATCCCTTCGGGCTACCCTCGGCAGTTCTGTATTACACAGACTCTGGGTAGTAAGAGCATTTATCTTGTGTTATGTACTTCACCATTTATGTTGCCCTACAGCTGAACTTGAATCCCTGAAGAAAGACCTGGAGCTGGAAGCCACGCTGAGAGCCGAGACAGAAACCAAGCTCAGGGAATCGGAGTCTTCCTTGAAAAGCATCCAAGCCAAATCCAAACAGTTGATATCTAAAATGCAGGAGAGGCTTGAGGAGATGGATAAGAGAAAGGTAGACCCTCTGTTTCCTGTTCAACTGTCAAATAGTGGTGTCCGTATGTCAAGATATTTGTAATTTATAGGCTTACCAGATGTCCTGGTTTGACCATTAGTTTAGCGTCCTTGTCCTGGGATTTGAACCAATTTAAATTTCTTTTTGGTCCTGGTTTCAAGCTCCGTTTGGTAAAAAATATATGTCCTATCTCTAGCTAAACCCAGATGAAAAGATTTGAGAAATTTATGGTAAATTTCCAGTGAAAATAGCTAGGTTGTTTTTTTTTCTGACATTTTTGTGTGTGGCTGTGACAATGGATAATGTTCTCTGCTGTTTCATTTTGTCTTTTTTTAAATCTGATCTTTATTTTTTGTGATACACATATGGATATGTTTCTGGAAAAAAAAATCTTACACTTTGGATTATAAATTTCTATTTGTGTGACTTGAATCGAGCATTTTGCGAACATTTGGTGAGATTTTTAATTTAAAATGTGTATTTTCCTTAAATCAAAATGACATCTATAAACTAAGATTTAAACCTAAGTCTGTATTGTCTGTAAAGAGCATGCATTCCCTGTTAAATTCCTTTCCAAACTTAACATTTTCTGATGAAAAAGAAAAGGTTATGAAGGTTTAGAGATAACATAATAGTGCATTACAAACATTCAAAGTAGATAATTCCGTCAGAATGAGTAAAATAATTCCGGAGACAAAGAGATAATGTAACTAAGCTAAAGACTGTCAAGTCCTAAGCTTGTGTTTGGCAACATGAGTTTATCATTAAAAGTCCACAACAAAATGAAGGCTTCTTTGAATATGAGGCCTGGGCAAATTGTTCATGACTACCACCCCCTTCCCCCCAAAAAATGACATGGTGTTGGTAATTACATAAACAAAAAATTGCCACCGGGGCACCTTAGCCCATCTTTGGTATGATAGAAGTGGTGGTGTCAACGACCATAGGTCATGGTTTGCGCTAATTAGATGTTTTGACAGAAAGGCATTTTTTCCAGTGCTTTCAGAGAACTGATAAACAGACCAAAATTCTCAAAATGTATGAAAATTGACTTAGCTTGCAACGGAGCTTTGAGACTATCCTCTGCTTCATCTAAAATAATGCTAGGATAAAAGAAATGTCTATTCTTAGTCACTGAGGCACTTCTTTTTTTTTTTTCCAGAGTAAACTTGAATCTGAAAATCACATTTTGAGGAGTAAAGTCCAAGCACTTCAGGTAGATCTAGACAACAGTGAGGCAGTTCAGAGGGACTTTGTCAAACTTTCCCAATCCTTGCAGGTAACTATATAACAAGGCAGGTTCTGGTGAATGCAATATTAGTTATTTCCTTCTTTGCATGGAAGAGGTCTTATGTGCCTATTTCTAATGCATAAATCGTTAACTCATTCCCGACTGTTATGACTAATTGTTCCATGGGGGGTTCCGACGGATGCATCCAGATGCGTCCCGGCGCATAGAGACACACCTCTCTCAGTTTAGTTTAAAGTAGCAATGAAATCTTGTGTCTCTCAAGACTTCTGATAATGGTGTATTTAAAAATATCTGATGTTTTTTTTTATATTGTTTCACTTGCTTGTGTGCTTTAGTATGGTGCGTATAGCTAGCACGTTTTCATCCAAGGGGCAAAAAAATGATTCTTATGTCATTGCTTGTTAGTTGTTCGTCGTTAATGTTAAATTTTTATTAAACATGATTCATTTCTGGGTGCATTTATCCTTAATTCATAATCTTAATTAATATTTAGCAGCTAAAAATATATTTTACAAATGAAAATTGATGGCAAAAGGGAGTTGCTTTCCTTTGTTCGGGAATATTAAGTACTGTCGTCAGGGATGAGTGAAAGGAGTTATTCCTTTTTTAAAATGTATAAATCCTATTGAAAATATTCTTAACCTATACATTAAAATGAAAGTTTTTCACTTTTTGTAACTTTTGAGTTATTAATCATTGTAAAAAAAAAATGTGTGATCCGTGTCACCAAGGGAAATTTGTCACACAGATCATGTATAAAATTGTGTTGTCCAGTGACATGATTTTATTTTTGCATAAAACCATTTTTGATACTTGGACAAAGCTACCATTATTTCAAATAATTTATTTTTTTAACAACTCCCACACATTAAACCCCCTATCCTCTCTTCTCTTCCCCCCCCCCCCCTTTACAGACTCCATCCCGGCACCCTCCACAAACCTCCTGGATCCTTTAATATAAAGTTATTTTTTTTACCACCCCCCCACATTAAACCCCCTATCCCCTCTCCCCTTCCCCCCCCCCCCCTTTACAGACTCCATCCCGGCACCCTCCACAAACCTCCTGGATCCTTTAATATAAAGTACTTGAATGTCAGACACTAACAATTTCAATTAAAGCTTGACTGCACTGTTTTGTTTCCTCAAAATGGGTCTTGTTAATCTAGTTGAAAGCTTTGTCACAGTGCAACCACCTTATAAATATTATAATTACTTGTCAACAGATTCAGCTGGAGAAAATCAGACAGGCTGAAAATGAAGTCAGATGGCAACATGAGGATGACGTTGATGACTGTAGCAACTGTAGACAGCCTTTCTCTGTGACGAAACGCAAGGTAGTTACAAAATTATTCATTGAATCAAAATTGACTACCGGCCCAGAAGCAGCAACCAAGAATTTATAATACTTTACTATAACACTGCATAGCAGTTTATCGCTAAAACAAGATTTCTTGTTGTCTTTTTTGCTGCCAAATGTTTGATTTCACCTTTATTTACCCTTTCTGATGTTTAAATAATTGTACCTTGATTAAATTATACGAGACTTTTTTTGTATTTTATCCTCATCCTAAATCACTGTGTTATTTTAAATGTTCCAACAGCATCATTGCAGACACTGTGGCAAAATATTTTGTGCTGACTGCACGACGAAATCTGTGAACAGTGGGCCGCATTTTCGCCCTGCCAAAGTCTGTGATGTCTGCCACACCATCTTGGTGAAAGATGCTACTCCCTATTTCAGCACCGAGCCCCCAGCCACACCTGACTAGCAAGCACCATGACCCATGTCTGTTATATTACATTTATTAAGTCAATTTTTATTATATATTTTTTTTTTTTACATAAGTAAATAAGTAAACAAACATTTTGTATACATTGGTTACTTTGGATTTGACCAGTTTAAAATGTGTTATCATGTCATCGGCTGGCATGGCCCATGTCTACGTCAATGTTTGTTCCCTGTCAACTTTTTAATGTATGAGAAATTGGATACAGTATTTGTTAAAAAAAACTCCATTAAACATAGTGTTATAAACCCTGATTTCTCCATCCTTGAGAGGCGGCTGTTCTAATTCTACCGTCAGATGAATTCAGCTTGAAGAACTCTACTGCATCTGTTTCGAACTGATCATTATTAATCATTTGGCCAAGTCAGTGAATCTACTTTCATTTTGTGTTGCAAATTGCTTGGGTATGTAGCTGTAATGGAGGTAAATATAAATGTGTAAAGAATGTCTGGAATATTGCTGTCCATGAAAAAAAATGTTTTTGTTCATCAACTTAATGATAAAATGAACTAAAGTAAATAGTAAGATTTAACTTAAGGTAGATCATCATTCAGATCCAATAGTTATTTAGGCATGTCCCCTTTGACCCAACTTAAGGTAGATATCAAGTTGTCTGTGAAATAGCATATTGATATTAACTTATCATAAAAGGTTTGAAAGTAAACAGTTCAGGAAAGTACCCCGCATATCTCAAACATCTTGGTCTGAAATGTACTGTTGTTACCATTGTCATTGTAAGCCAATACCCAGGAACATGTTGGCATGACAACAATTGTGCAATATTGTAGATGAGCCCTTTCATTGTGGCTTATTTATTCCAGCTTGAATTGTACCTGTACAATCTCTTTTTTTCACCATTCAAACCTGCTCTGTGTACATTTGTGTACATGGGATGTGTTTTATGTGAGCATTCAGTATTCATAGAATAAAAGGCCATTCTAAAGGCTGGCACTATTCACAGTAGTTTGTCTTTTTTTTAAAATATTTATTACATATTAAAATTCCTGATATTATTAAGTAAATAAAAATTGTTTTGTTTTACCAGTATGTTTATAAAAGTAATGGTAGACGTGAAGATCCAGAACAATCTTAAAAAACAAGTTGAGCCAAAAGGAGAATTACACTAGTTTTCAGCTTCAAGTGAATTAATTTAAATGTGTGTTTCTTGTAATATCTGTTAAGAGCTCTGAGCACTTGTTTTTATCCTGACAAAGACCTCAACAAACATCAAGGATATATGAATAAATGAATACCAAATGGTATTGTATGACATTGTTGAGTGCCCTCAACAATGAGGCAGTGTCGAGGATTTTACATATGGTTGTACACTTGTGATTTAAATCTGTTCACTTAACGCAACAGATTTAAAAAAAAAAAAGAACTATGTGATTCATGCATCAGAAAGTACCGTTTACAACAAAATCCTTTGAAAGCCTTATGTCCATCTTATGTGAATGATCAACTTTTGCACAGCTGTGATCACTTTAGTAATGTTTAACTTACTGATGTATTTGTAGTGCTTAAAATCTCAGTATGTTCAAATCTAATATTAGTATTTTTAGGAGTGCCAAGAATCATTTAGCTAATCTGCATTAGTTTATTTTTCAGTCTTTGATTATGATTTATTTAATGATATTATGGACGCCTCGTTAAATGTGTGTCAACATTCTATTTTACTGTTAGTTTTCAAGTTGTTTCAACAACTTTGATGATTACAGAATGTGATTCATGAAAATGTTATGACTGACTCGTGGATATGTTCTGACTAAGATTATGATTATGTTCTTTCAGATTTTGATAGTGTCAATTTTAATTCATTTTGTGTCCAAATTTTGCATTATTTGTTAAAATGTTTTTTGTGTGGTTTCTTTAATAAATCCATACAATTGGCAGATATTGTATAAACATTCTAGAAACAATATCTCATTATGATGTAAAAATTGATGATTAAAATAATTCCACATCTTAACAAAATTACTTGTTTTTAATATGTTGCATACAAAAATATTAGTGAACACAATAGATGGAAATGAATTTTTAATTTAACAACCCCAAAAAACAAGGTTTTTCGTATAACTTTTTTCATGCTCCTGAACTATATTAATATTCTAATGACCCACCCGATTTTATACATCAAATTTATTTCACCAACTAATTCAGCAAAATAATAGAAAATATTACGCACTGAACGCACTTGCAATATTTTTTAATAATGTCATATTAGCGCAGTTATCTGGAATTTTTGTGTATGAAATCAAAGGCATCATATTTCCCTTGAAAAACAGGAAAACTGATTTTTGGGGTAAGGGGTGAAAGTTTGATAGAGTTAAGAGTGTGTTGTCATCGGCAACAAGTCCATGTGCCAAGTTTCAACTCGATAGGTTAATGGGAGGTTGGTCAATTAACTGTCCGAAGATTTTGCCACCCAACCAGAAAGAAACACGAACAAAATTAAATATAAAATATTTTTTAAAAAGGGAGGGTTGGATTTTATTAAGAAATTTCCATTAAAAAAAAAAAAAAATTTCATTGGGGGATGGGGGAAGAATTTCCACCATAACAGTATTAAGGATACCACAGTCATGTATGTGCATCATCATGATCACAAAAATATATTTTATGGGTTAACAAAAAATTTTTTTTTGTTTTTTGCAAATTGTTGATCAATAATTCATAGACCCCACAAATCCCCAACCAATAAATGAGTTCAAGGTTCAGTACAACAAAATCATGATTAGATACTTGTGTAGCCATTTATTTCACTTGAGAATGCCTGGTTTCTTCCAACCTGGACAATGAATTTCCTGTCAAACCCGTTCATGGCAAATGTCCAAAAGTTCCATTGAAGTAGTTTAAAACAGAAATGTATGAATGTATTGGAAATAGCTTTCGACATGAGCAGCTAGGCACAACTTTTTCCACAATGTTCTTTTTTTTAACTATCAGATGTCACATTTATTACTTATACTGTGATTCAGTGATATCATTAAAAATCTTTTTGTGCCAAGATTTTTTAAGCAAATTTTTTAAAGCTTTTTATGGTTATGCAATATTTCTTGTTGGATTTTCTTACTAACCAATTATATGAGGTCGGACCGCGATAAAACTTAAACTAAATCTCTCTCAGCTCTTTCAATACTTTGAAGTCCTTTACATTTCTATATACTAAGGGTTTCAATAAAGAGGTCCTTCAGATGGCAGGTAGTTTAGAGATAAAAATAACTAAAAACTGGTCAATATATCTTTTCATTGTCATAAAAAGATATAAGTTTTCTTAATTTATAAATCAAGAACTATTAATTTCATTGACTGAACTATATCATTAAAGTGCATAACCTTGGCACTAAACATTGGCTTACAATATGCAGACAAATATCTGTAGTCTTTGACATGCTCTTTTTTTTTTTTTTTAAAGATTGTAGGAAACCATTCTTAAATTACCAGCTGGTTTGTCAAATAATTTTAAGGAGTAGTCAAGTTAATCTGGGAATACAATTCCATTTTTTAAAATTTTGAATTAAAATATCATTAAAGTGCATAACCTTGGCACTAAACATTGGCTTACAATATGCAGACAAATATCTGTAGTCTTTGACATGCTCTTTTTTTTTTTTTTAAAGATTGTAGGAAACCATTCTTAAATTACCAGCTGGTTTGTCAAATAATTTTAAGGAGTAGTCAAGTTAATCTGGGAATACAAGTCCATTTTTTAAAATTTTGAATTAACTTCTATGCATTTTATCAAATCCCAGTGTTATTTTTCAATCCTACGATTTCAGGATTCAATTTTATATATGATTCCAGGATTCAGTTTTACTAACACCTTTATCCACATTTACATTTACTGAGCCTCAATATAAAAATTGGATGATATGATGTTCTTAAGATATTCATTTATTGATGTATCCGTAGTACAAGAAAAAATATCTGTAAATAACGTAACAATATTTATAAATTAATAAAAGAAGAATCTTCGACACACTTGACAGAGAATTGCAAAGCTGTGTCTGCACGTGACATCCAAGTTATGCCATACACCAAAAACTCAAATCTTCATCTTGTCCCCCTTTCATCTTGTCCAAAATGTCTATGCTACAAATATTTTACTCTTCAAATTTTAAAAAAAAAATGACATTATAATTTAAAAAATGATAGAAAGAAAAACCCCACAAACTTATAATCCAAGAATTCTTTAAGTTTCTGACTATGTAACAAAATATGACCAACAATAGTAACTTTAGAAGCTTGTAGGGTCTGATAAAACATTTTTTTTTTAAAGTTTCACCAATCAGTATGGATAAAAACATTTGTTATAAAGTTTTACCAATCAGTCAAAACTGTTAATGATTTTGCTGTAGTTATTCAGCACACGGTATACCAAGAATTCCGCAGCAATTTGACCATCTATATGACCGTTTCTTCCAAACAGCAGATTGATAACAAAACAATCCTAAGATATTTTAAGTTCTGTTTTTCTTCTTTAATGATTGTCCTTGCCCAGAAAAGGCTTCAAATGTTTTGTCCTCTTCCTCTTCTGTGTTTCCATTAGCAACTGGCCGAACACTTCGTATGAATGTGATGGTACCACGCTTGAAGTTGTAGTTGGGTATTCCCCTAAAAATAGTTCAAGCTCAATGGTAAGCAAAGTACATAGCATTTATTTTTTAAAATTTCATCCATGATCAATTGTTATTAAGTATATGTATGCTGCTATTAGGTCCAGTATAATAATACTGTGCATTAAGGCCACATCAGACTGTAAAGGGTTAGAACTGAAATGCACTTTACCAACTTAAAATGTTTTTTCTACAGATAAAAAAAATCTTTAAAATGTCTCACCTTCTATGTGGTCCAATTTGACCAATATTACTAGCTCCTACTTCTGTTCCCTTTGTCTTGCCATCCAATCTGTTGCCTTGACCAGCAAAAGGCTGATGAGTGAATAAAAACAATAGCTTGTAGCAAACATCTTACTATCTTGCATTTATTCAATAAAAACAATTCTCACTTTTGAATATTATTCTTGAATACATTTTAACATCTTTATTACACTTACTCTACAGCAACAAAGAGGTCAAACAATAATTATTTTCATGAGTTAATCATTTAAAAATTACACTGAAATACTACAATGTTTTTTATTTGATTGGTGTCTTTCAATGTTTTTAAAAGAAATATGAATCACAATCTCTTAAGTTGTCTCAAAAGTAGACAAGTAGCAAAAATTAAATCAAATTTACCTACCCTGAAAGCTTGCATATCATCTGCACTGTCAGTTTCAAGTTCCTGTATGATGGAAAATTTGAATCATGTTTAATAATTGGATCAGGCCTTCGTTTTCCCCACTTTTGCCCTTAATTTCCTCTTTGCTTTAAAACCATAAAGTTAATTTTAATAAAGTCTTACAGCGCCATCCACATGATCTGTGATTCTTGGCCGTCGTTCTGGTTCCCTGTAACCAACTGGAGGGGCAAAGTCCACCTGATAAAAAAAAATTACCATTTGATTGTCAATTTAAAAAATTTCCTGCATCACCTACCTCAAATAGAAAAACTCCAATATTAGTCATATAACATTCATTCATTCTTCTTCTTCTTCTATATCTTAAGGGCCCACTATTAATTTATTGATCATTTTGTCTCCTATGCATGTAGATGGGATTTGCAATGTTTCTGTTACTGGTGTTGATGAGGAAATCATGCACTAGGGGTTTGAAGGCTTGAGGCAATAGACACAAATGTGTCTAATGTTGTCGCCTCAATTGTTCCTTTTGAAAGATGGTTCCAGTCCCTGATTGTCTTGGGCAGGAATGAGCAGCTCCTATACTGGCTTCTTGCTGGTATGAGCCTGAATTGCCTGTCATAGTCTCGTCGCTGTCGGGGGAGAGGGACAAGTTTCTGTTTAATACTGGAACAGTGAACCAGCCCATTATTTATCTTGTACATCATGGAAAGCCTGGATTGTCGTCGTCGTTTCTCCAATGGTGACCAGCCTAGTGTTTCTAGCATGTTGCCAACACTAGAGGTATTCCTGTAGCGGTTAAGGACAAAGCGTGCTGCTCGTCGCTGGACCGCCTCCAACCTGTCAATGCTCTTCTGGGTAAATGGGTCCCAGACTGAAGATGCATAATCTAAAATCAGACGGATAAAGGCTTTATATGCTCTTTCTTTCATTTATATATATATTTATTTATTTCATTACCGGTATAAATAAAGTGACCATATTTTTCCATAGTCAAAACCAGGACAGTAAACAATTTTCAAATTTAAAAAAATGACTTCTAAAATCATTTTGCTACATAGGTGTCCAAAAATGAACAATTAATTGTGATTACAGAGAGATGTCTTCTGCCAGTGAGGCTAACTTGTCATTGAATTTTTTTTTTTTCTTTTGATGACAATTAGGATTAATTATACTCCTTTTAGTTATTTATATAAGCCTGGTTGTCAGATATACCCAGTACTCAATTAAAAAAAATAAATTTGGTAGTCTTTAAATATACTGTTTTCAGCTCATGACAAACAAGGACAAATCCAAAAACCAGTGCTGCTCTGGTAAAAATCAGTATAAATGGTCACCTTAATTATAAATGAATTCATCTCACAGACTTAATGTTATTATCTAAGCATATGCATCAAATGAAACAGTGATGTTTACATAGACAACAACTAAAGGGATCTCCTGTTCAATACTCACTCTCATGTCACACTCAATGATGGAGACAGCCTTTCCTGGTTTGCTCTCCAGTACACACAGCTCATACTCCTGTCACAATGAACAAAAAAAACAAACACACTTGTATTTAAATTTAATAATGATTTGAATTGTTTTGCGCATGAATCTAACAGAATGAAATGTATAAAGTAAGCAATAGGTCCCTTTTATTTGAAGTTTATCACCTTGCAATATTCTGTTGTGTCTAAAAAGTTACCAAAAAAAAAATGAGTTACTTTGTTATTGTTTTCAATGGCCACAGTATCTTTCTTTATCTTATGCACTTTTTCAATCTATCTCATGAAACCAACATTTCCTAAAACTTACTTTGTCATTGTATTTTATGGCTATAACATCTCCTTGAGTAAGACAAGCAAAGTTCCTCAGGGCATTTTCAAGGCTTTATGTGTCAAGGAAATAAATTACAAATTACCAACAATAAAAAATAGTGAACATAAATTATGTTTTAACAAGGTCTTACTCATCAGATTAGCAGTGTCTCTTAATTTAAGCATCAGATATACAATCACATCAAAATAAATTTTTATGTCCCGTATCCATTGCGATCAAAGACATTAATAAAAAGAATACACAGCTTTGGGGTTGGTAATATCCAAGAAATCCACAGACTGCGGTTGAAATTTTGCGTATGTGGCCACCGATAATGAAACATTGTCAATCTGGATAAAATCGCCTTCATCAACACACAGATTTCTCATCATCTGTAGAAAAAAAAACAACACACAAAAAACATCAAAGGATTATCATTTGTAGCTACCATCAGGCTTCTGGAAGGTAAATTTCTATTAATAACACTGTTTTCAAGTTTAACAAGAGATAACCAGCAATTTTTTTCTTCTATTTCAATGTACAATTACCCAATAAGGAATAAATATGCGTCCTTCATCTGCAACAAACTCCAGAACACCACAATGAGTTTCTCTGTTGGACTTTTTATTTGTTAGCTTGAACAACATAGGATACTGAATATTCAGACGAGCTGAAAATACAAGAGAATCCACAGTAGAATTGTTTGGTGTGAAGCCATGAGGACAGAAAAGCTGTCATGTTAAGAACTGCAATAACAACAAAATATAAAACCTAAAAAATATTTTTAATGCAATAATAATAAATGGGCTAAGATAAAATTTAAAAGGTTTTAAAACGTAACATTTTAGAATCTCTATTTTGTATGGCTCCAGACTACACAGAGGCTTGGCAATTTCAAACTTTTAACAACTGGTTTTTTTTTGTTTTCAATGACCACAGTCTCTATTTCTTTATATATTTAAATTGGTGTGTGTATGGATTGTTTATAATCCAAATTTGCCTAGTCAGTAGCAAGTTGTGTCTTTCATCTAATTCCCAAAATAAAAAGAGGCTCCAACACTTATGTATGTGAGATAACATGGCACATGGTTAAAAGGATAAGACCATTAGTTTACCACCCTGACAAAAGACAGGAGAAATATTGCACTATCCTGACCAATCTGACTTATCTACTTCAAGTTGTAATAATGCTATGACTCATTTTTGTTAATTTATAGTTTTAATTATGAAAAAATTATCTAGAAAAAATAACAGATTTTCATTTCAAGTAGCCTGCTATCAGTTTTAATCTTTAAAAGCAAGCTCCTTGGTCACTAAGCCTAAAGGAGATAATCCAGCTCTAAATTTTAAAATGTATATTAAATAATGAAACAGATGCACCTTGTACCCAAATATAACTAAAACAGACACCAAATAATAAAGAAAGGGTACATTTTTCAATAAATATAAAACTAGCATACTTACTCAGTTGGTCCAAAGCAGATGGTGGCATGATAACTGAATAAAAATATAGAAAGTCATATATTATATCATACATTTTAATGCCAGGATTGTGAATGGGCATTGTGAAGTAAGAATCAATTCTCACAAAGCTCTATTTCCAAATATTTGTGAAGGAAAAAAAAAGACAAATGATTTGTAATAATTTCTTACAAAAGGAACAGTTGAGGCGACAACACTTGACACATTTGCGTCTATTGCCTCAGGCCTTTAACCCCCAGCTCCTGTTGTAGCCCTTGCAACCAGTGAAATATATTCTTTAATATCAAGCAAAAAAAATATTGCAAATCCCCTCTATATACATAGGAGCCAGAATGATCGAATACATTGATCGTGAGCCTTTAATATATAGAATAAGAAGAGGAACAAGTACAAATTGAAGTTGATTATTCAAAATGTCTTATTTTGAAAAGATTGTAACAGCTGCTTTTTGAGACAGTAAGAATATTCAAAATCTCTTATTGTAAAAATATTGAAACAAATATTAAAACTTTTTAACAGAATAATTATTTGAAAACATTACTCTAACAATCTATTATTTCACTTGTTATTACCTTGTATAATCTTGCTTGCGACTTGAAAATATAGGTCAATAATTAAGTTGAGGTAAATGGCTTAAGGAACCTTACTTATTTGTGCTGTCACACAAGAAAGGCTTGGAATGATTTGTGACAAAGTGATTGCCACAAAAGCTACAAATTACCTTAATAAACAAACATTAGATACCGTAACTCACTTTTTCCACCTCTTTCTACATCCTCTCTGTCTCCAAGCATTGTCACGCTGAAACATTTGTATGTTTCTTTGAAAGTACGACCATCGGGAAAAGTATTGCCAAAGCTGAACTAGACATAAAAATATGACTTATTAAAAATACTTTTTTGAAACAATTATTAAGAATTTTTTTTTGTAAGATCATGTTTTGGGGAAAGAGAATAAATCTAAAACATTAAATTAAATTTTGCATAATTAATATGAATAATGGATAGTATTTTTAAGAACATAAAATTAACCAACAACAAAAAATTATTTTTAAAATTGTGATCAAAATCAAAATTTATTTATATAATAATATTTATATCATCATTGTCTTAAAGTTATTATAGTAATTAGAATGAATATATCATATAATTGTCTAGTTGGGAGCTTTTCACAAAACATATTAAAACAAGGTATTGAACTACATTTTGGTTGCTGCTTAATATTAAGTTCAAACTTCAATTTTTAAAAATAAGGAATTATACCACAAAGATCTTCTTACTCTGAAATAAATAACAAAATATTTTCTTTTATACCATACACTTAATATGTGATCTGTGTTTCTGTGCCAAATGAATTAAATATTTCTGCACACTAAGTATGTAATGTACTATTTATATTTTGCACCCATTTTGATTGTGTAGTGCCAGGATTTAAATAAGCTAAAGCCTAAGGTTTAAACTAAAATTAAAATCTTCTGAATCAATAGACTTATTTTTTAGGCTTTATATGTAAAATATAAAAAATAAATTGCTTCAAATTAAAAATCATAATTTTCAATTCAATTGTGATTGGAATTATTATTATTTGTTTCATACAATTTTAACTTTCCTTCTCATTTTTTTAATGTTTCCTTTTTGTGTGCAGAGCATGCCATATATACTTTATAAGCCCATTTATTCATAAGCCAACCCTTTTAGTTTTGGCTGGGGAAAAAATTGAAAAGTGTGTAACCAGCTCCATGGAACCCCATAAAACAGGATAAACAATATGGCACTAATTAAAATAATTTATTTTGTTAAAATCCAGACAGTTAACAATAATTTTTGCTTAAGTAAAAAGACCTAGAAACTAATAAACATACAGACAGTCCTTTTGCTTCATTACTGGTAAATACAGTATTGTAACTATTCTGAAAATTTAAAAAAATAAGACCTCTGCCATCTACAATAAAAATTTCATTTTTCTATTAAAGTACTTTTGATACTCTCAAAGCATAGCAGCGTGAAATGAGGACAAAACACAGCCCAATTTCGCCTTCTGTTATTTTTTATTTTATTTTTATAATAAAATCAATTTATATAGAGAAAATTTTTAAAGTATCATAATAATACCAGCTCTTAAGCAGAACCACCTCCCTTATCTCCCTGAAATATAAAACAAAATTGGCTTATGAACAAGTAAATTCATTCATAAATAGCTCTTAACTCTTAGTCAGTGCAGTGATGAGGAGGAGGCTAAGGCCAATGTAAGTGATGGAGGATGTTTGTAAGGTGTAAGTCCAAAGAGGAGAGTTGGCAGAGGATTAAGGTGGTCTATGAAACATTGTTGGAGGTTTGAGTTGGTAGGGGGGATGAGGTTGAGAAGAGGAAGTGTGTAGGGTGGTTTATAAGGTGAAGGGCAAATGAGGGGGATTGGGATGAAAATAGAAAAATACACAACACGATAGATACTGATGATCAAGGTCATGTTCCACACTTACTAGTAACGCTTAGCTAATTAAGTCACTGATCACTAATCTGGATTTTACTCATTATCATTTTTAGGCCAACCCTACTTGTAACCTACTACCTACACTTACACTGTCAACTTACATTACTTCTTTACAAAAAATAATTTAGTTAACTTACTTACTTACTAAGTTAATTACTTAGACTAAGACTTATAATAATGGCAACTTACTTAGGCTAATATTAGTATTATCAGTTAGTACAAAGTCACAGTATAAGTCAACAAAAAAAAAACATTTTATTTTCAATGTAAAATTTATAATGACTATTTTGGTAATCTACCACTTGAGCGTCGGTTATGAAAAATCATGTTATTCCGGTTTGAAGTTCTATTTAAGTGGGGATTGTTTTATTCTTTTATTGATCCAAATAAATGGAAATTTTTTCATTTTTATGACATTGTACATATTCATTTCAGTACAATTATAAAAAAAAAGACAAAATTTTTAAAAATAGAAAAACGTAACCAATTTAATGTATGAAAAGAAAACACAGTTTGAGTTTAAATCATCTCCACGAAAACAATTGTGGGACATGAATTCATGCAAAAATGAGGGGAAAAAATTTGAATCTTTTGCTAAATTGTTTTTTCAGTTTTCACTTTGCCTGCGTCCACATTTTTTCAACAGTGTCGTGTGGATTTACAAAATTTTTATTGATGAACAGCAAAGAAGAGTTTGTTGATTCAGTTTCTGATTTGGTTTATGTTTGCATAAACCACACATACGTCTAAAAAAGTAGTGGGGCTGGAAGGATATAGTTCTCTATGCACTCCTGTAATGTAATTGCATGTCGTTAATATATATGGCACTTCAATAAGAAAACAGCGCCCACTCTCTCTTTCAAAGCCACGGAAAACCCAGTAGCCTTTTCCACTGTACTATTAATGAATGGACATCAATAGAAGAATACCGGTAACCATTCAAATAGCACTTCAAACCGAAAAAACAAAAAAAAACTTGATTTTTTCACAACCAATCCTGAAGTGGTAGATTCCCATTAATTTATTTTAATGAAAGTGTGACAGTCTCAGAATCAGAATGTCTGTAAAAACTAGAGACTGTAGTCGACTAGTGTAGATTTCAATTAAATAAAAAGCCGTATAATGTAATACATACTGTAAATTAAATGATTACTAAAACTATATGAAAATGTCAAAAGTTTATAATAAAGTATAAAAATAACAATAAATAATAATCATAAAAAAATTTAAAATTTGAATGTTATTAATTATAAATTATATAATTATTAGTATTGGTATAGGAGTATTAGTTATAAGTTATTAGTATTGTTCCTCTTATATTAATTACACTCGGAAGCTTTTCCAGTGGGTAGTGGAGTCAAGCAAGGTTGCGTGCTGGCTCCTACTTTATTTGCAATCTTTTTCTCCATCCTACTCCAGTATGCCTTTAAGAACAACAGCGAGGGGATATACATCCACACTAGAGCTGACGGCAAATTATTCAACATTGCCCGCCTTATAACTAAGACTAAAACAAGAAAGGTCATGCTGCGCGAGTTCTTGTTTGCGGACGATGCCGCTTTGGTATCTCACACAGCAGACGGCCTGCAGAGCCTCGTATCCAGCCTATCCGCTGCCTGCAAAGAGTTTGGCCTGGCAATTAGCCTAAAGAAAACTAACATTATGGCACAGGACGCTGACTTCCTCCCCACTATCGCCATCGACGACTACGAATTGGATACTGTTAACAGTTTCACATATCTGGGATCCAACATATCGAGCACCCTCTCAATGTAGGATGAGATAAGTGGAAGGATAGGGAAGGCCGCAACTGTTATGGCCAGACTGAAGAAAAGAGTCTAGTCAAACACCAAACTCACAACAAGAACTAAGCTGCAGGTGTACCAGACCTGTGTACTGAGCACACTCCTGTATGGATGCGAGTCGTGGACCACATACTCTAACCACGAAAGAAGGCTCAATAGCTTCCCCCTCAGATGCCTGCACCACATCCTTGACATTAAATGGCAAGACAAAGTCCCCAACACGGATGTCCTGTCCCAAACAAACAATTTTAGCGTCCCAGCCATGTTAAGTCAAAGACGCCTCCGCTGGCTTGGACACGTCAAGCGAATGCAACCTGGTCGCATAACAAATGAAGTGCTATACAGCGAGCTAGCGACAGGGAAAAGGTCAGTTGGACGGCCTCGTCTGAGATACTTAGACATATGCAAAAGAGACATGAAGTCTGCCAACATCGACATCTCAAACTGGGAGGAGCTGGCAGAGGATCGATCCTCATGGCGGGACATCGTGAAGGCAGGATCACTACATGCCGAGGAGCAAAACAGGGCGGAAACAGCTGCAAAATGAGCGAGGAGGGAAATGTAACAGAGACTGCCATTCGAGGATTGGTCTCACCAGCCACACCAATTGCTTGCATCGTCTCCCGCAGACGGAAAGATGCCATACATAGTAATGATAGTATACAATTACACTCGTCTTCTTTGTTATTTAGTAAACTACTTAAGGTACACAGTTTAAAAATGCGGAAATATTAATGTATAGTTACCATCTTCAGCTCATTAATTAATTATTTTTTCTTTGAACTGATGATTACCAACAACTCTCGACTATGACAACGTAAATTGAAACCAGTCAAAAGCTAACAAAAGAAACGAAAGAATGCCGGAAGTTTACGTTTTCCAATTTCATAAAGGCTAAAAATAGATAAAGGTTCTCAAGACTTATAACTGGGTGCTGCTTTGATATTTAGTTAAATATCTAATACGAGCTTTTCAAACCATCTTTATTATTTTTTTTAAATAATATCATTTACTAAAATTGTCTACTTAATATTTAATCAATTATTGAAAAAAAAATTGTGTTGGGGCGGGAAAGGGGGAATTAAAATCTTCACATCTGTTAGTTAGTAGTTAGTGACTGAGTCATTGTGTAACTGAACTACTAGGAGTTCTATAAATATCCGAGCAAGTCATATTCTTAGCAGTGTACTGCGAAATTATTTTCACTTTTACTGACTCCACATCAAGTCTGTTCTACTCCTTGGTCCATTGAGAAGCTATCAATCAGTGAAAAAACATTCTCGACGTTTGCAAAAAGGAAATTCACAAATGTTCAGTTATTCTGAAAAAAAATCAATACAATACTGGTGCAAGATTTGAAAAATACCGTCCATTTTTCATGAAGCCAGTGTCTTCGAATAACTTACTCCCTTAGTTTTCAGGTTTTCTGGCTGAAATTAGGATGCAAAAAATGGTCATTCAGTTTCGCATCATCAATGATAACACCCCTTCATATTTGTACTAGTACTAAGGGGCCATCCATAAAGTATATCACGCTATTTTTTACAATGTTTACTCACCCCGCCCCCCAACCGGTCACAAAATCCCCCCCCCCCAACAATAAAGTACGTCACACTTTTAAGAAATGTTTAAAAATTAACAATTAATTACATTTCAATTTAAAACACATTTCACTATTAAAATTAGACACAACTGCTAATAAAGACACCTTCTTTCAGAATACACCCAGCACAACATAAAGGTAAACATCACTCTCAATTTCATCTTTTATATGTATGATAAAATAATATATAAATGCGTAACGTCAAATATGATCTAACCCCACCCCCAAACTGTCACACTTTCTAGGACCCTCTCCCGAGCGTGGCGTGCTTTGTGGACGACCCCTGATTGTGTTCTTTAAGTACCAATTTCAAAAACCCTTAAACTCACACAATTGTTGAATCCATGTTTCCAAGTCTTCAAGAGATGCTTTACAACATGTTGAAATTCGAAACATATAATATGGCCTGCTCTTTTCCCGTAGTACCATTGATTTAAAGAAAAAGCTGTTTCACTTTTAAGAAATCCTTTATATTTAACTTCGCTTTTGTTTGTGGATAACTGGCTGGCAAATTCTTGGGACGGATATATGACCCACTTCTCGTCCACCTATCGAGGTGAAACTTGGGACATAGACTCGTTATCGATGACTACACATTCTTTCACATTTTCAGCCCCCCCCCCCCCCCAAATCCTTTTTTCAAGGGAAGTTGAAGGAAACTTGGGACATAGACTCGTTATCGATGACTACACATTCTTTCACATTTTCCGCCCCCCCCCCCACAAATCCTTTTTTCAAGGGAAGTTGAAGGAAATATGATTTCACGAAATAAAATTCCCGATAACTGCACTAAAAGAGATTCTTTAAAAAGAAATATCGCAAGTGCGTTTGGTGCGTAATATTTTCTTTCGATTTTTCTGAAATAGTTGGTTAAATAAATTTGCGGTGTAAAAGCGGGTGGGAAATTAGATATAAATATAAAATAAATTATTAAAATGCATGTAAAATATCAATAATTTATTCGCAAAACTTTGTTTTTAGGGGTTGTATCATTAAGGTAAAAAAAAGTACCTTCAATTCAATATCGCAGAAACCGCAATATTATTTCTAAGATGTTCAAAATTTCCAGTTCTAACGTCTCTTCTTGCTAGACTGAAGCAAGCTGGCTTGAAATAAAGGCAGCGGTGCAAAAATCGTGTTTATGTGTTGTTGTTCATCAGTCGGGAGTCGACCATGACCACTTTAATCATCAGATGTGTGCTAGTTCTGTCTGTTGTAACGTAGATGGCCAATGAGGCTGATTCTGGCACGAAATTTTCTTGTGAATGGGTGCAGGGGAATGATGGGGCATCTCCGGGAGCAGAATCAGACTGGGCCTTACTGGCATGCCTCTTGCGCTCTGCAGCCGCTGTTCTGCCAACTTCATGTTGCATGGAGCTCCTGTTTAAAGTGGAACACCATAATGTTCGATCCTTTGCTCTTTACTCCCACGTGTCGAACGCTTTCAGTGAGGCTTTTAGGTTGTCTTTAAAACGTTTCTTCTTCCCGCCAGCAGATTACTTTCCTTGTTCGAGTTCACGATAGAAAATTCCTTTGGGCAGACGGTCGTTTGACATTCTCACAACACGTCCCGCCCAGCGAAGCTGGGACGTCATTAAGATGGTAAAGATGCTGGGGAGACATGCCTGTGTGAGCACCTCAGTGTCTAGGACTCTGTCCTGCCATTTAATGTTGAGGATTTTTTCTGAGTCTTGTTGTATGAAAATGGTTCAGCGTTCTTGCATGGCATTGGTGCACCGTCCACGTTTCACAGACATAGAAAAGCGTAGGGAGAACAGCCGCCTGATATACTTTCAATTTAGTTTGAGTGCTGATACCTCTCCTGGTCCATACGTTCTTAGTCAATTTTCCATAGGCTCCACTGGTTCTCGCAATAAGGAAGTTAACCTCGTCATCGATGGTTGCGCTTTGGGACAGTATGCTGTCGAGATAAGAAAAGCTAGCCTATTTACCACCTTAAGTCATTCGCCATATACTTGGATGTTCGGCACAACATAAGGTCTTCGAGGAGCTGGTTGGTATAGGACCTCATTTTTTTTTTTTTTTTTTTTTTTTTTTTGTTTTTTCTTTTTTTTTTTTTTCCATTCCACACGAATTCAAAGATGCATCTATTGGTCACTTGTACACTTGCCTACTGGTAGGCTACTTGGCGAAACCTCATCCCCCCCCCCGACTTTTGATAATATGTAACATAGGCTAGTTCTACCTAGTTAAAATTAATCTTTATTAGGCCCACATTTTTTACACGTTGAATATACATGATAGTCACACCATCGCTAAAGTATATAACAGTGTCTATAATAGTCTATCTAAATCTATAGTATAGCTAAGCTACTCAATCGGCGTATCGTCTCACGAAGACGGAAGGATGCCAATGCCATATAATATAATTATATTATATCAATAATCATTATATTATAATATGAGTACCGGTAGTGATATTCAGTGATAAGTAGTGATAAAAAGGCTAAGTTTATAACTTGCCCTTACTCTTAGTAGTGTTAGACTTAGGCTAACTCACTTAGGCCTTCTTATTTATTCGTATAGTATAACATATAACATATCAGGATTATTTCCTATAATAGCCTATAATTAAGGAATAATTGATTTGTAGAAACCAATTAACGTTTTGAATTGCAAAAGGGGACGTAAGAGAGGACACCTACTAGCGATATTAATAAGGACCCCTGATAAATATTTTTAATTTTTAAACACTGTAGCTTATTATTCTCATTACTTTAATTCATCGGGCCTGTAGACTATTAATAAACTAAAATATATGTGAAATATGTTTTCGCCCGTTATATTTTTTTTGTTCGGACAATTTTGGGACAAGCTCAAACTTAAAGCTGTTCTGTCCATGACGACTCCGTCAAAGAATTTACACGAAATTTCTCGATCTTAGTTTAGTTCACCGGGTTATCTGTGGCAGAGCTTGTTCTTGTGGTTTGGATAAGAATAAGAATCAAACGTCTTGTCGGCGATGGTTGTGCTTACAAAAACACTTATTTGATTGGATGATTGGCTCATCCAGTGTTGGGTCGTGTCGTAAATATTATATCACAAATCAGACATTTGATTCATTTTGATTTTGTCAATTTGATCAACCTGTGAGTGCGTGAGATTTTGCCAATTTCTCACCTGCTTGTCATTTGAATTCTGTGACATAAAAATACTAATTAATTTAGTATTTTGTAGGCTAGAGCCTACTACATAAAAAAATTATACCTGCTTTGTAAGTATGAACCTTTTAACAGGGGTTTGTGTTACACTGTTACACACTTAATGAATTACTTGGCTACTTAAGTGACTTATAATTTATACTTGACCCAGCTTTATTATATATTAAACTTAAATTATGTGAGACATAATTGCCATAACTAGGAATAAATTATTTTTGTAGATATTTTAAAATTATTTTTAAAGTATTTTTATTTGACCAGTGGCCTATATTAAGTAAGTAAATAAGTAAATAGTGCTTTTTAAAGTTTTAGGCCTAGGCATAAAATAATAATAGATTTAGATATGAATCATAAAGTACTTTATAACACTGAACATGCAAAGTCAATTAAGTTAAAAGAAAGATAAGTACTGCTAAAGAAATCTTTAAATTAAGGCCTTTCAAAGCCTATCATTCGATTCATTATGACACACGATAACATTTTTTTATCGAAGGCGACATAGGCCTATAAACTATAGTCAGTTATACTAAGATATAACCAGTATTTATATTAATAATAGGTTTATAATAATTACAGGCCTAAGCCTACTGTTATATTTTTATTAAGCCTAATGACTAATGTAGGCCTTAGTTATTATTATTTATAAAAATAAGAAGAAATTTAACTAGCCTTCCTCCTACTGATTAGATCTAGGGCCAAACAGTTATTTGGGAGGTCTAGGGCCTAGGTCTATAAGTAAATCTTAATCTATTTATTGCAAAATATTTAGTATGGACAGTATGGATTTAAATAGTGAATAGGCAGCATACAAAATACCAGAAAATGAATACTGTAGTCACATATTACAGACTTAACCCTAAAGCTGTACTTATATTTTAGTTAGTTACACTACAATATTCTTACTAATACTAATATTAAATATGGCTATGGATAATCTTTTTTTATTTGTATATCGAATGAATTGTTAAATGAGATAAAACTTTTGATTTTGCGCAAATATACAAATACAAGCAAGTTACTACAAGACTAGGCTCGTAAAATCTTGTTTGCAATTTTCATTTTCATTTTAGTGGAGAAAGGAGTTATTGGGACAGAAAATAATAGTTTTAATTATAAAAACTAATTTTATATTTTAATTAATATTTCCAAATGGGATAGTAATGGCAGACTACAGTGAATTCAACAACAATAACTACCTCCCAGGCCTTTATAATGGTAAGATTTTAGATTTTTATTTGAAGTAAGCAAAAGGTTTTGAAATTTAAAAAGACTTTTCTAATTTTAGATTTGTCATATCAAGTTCTTGAAACTTCAATTATTTTTATTTACAGTATTTTAAATTCAAACATGACATTTGATATCATCTCTCAATTACACATTTTTTGTTTTACTAATTTAACAAGCCCCATATGATTTTCCCCCATTATTCTTGGATCTTTCATTGATGTTATCATAATTGTAATGTTGTGCCGAATATTTATTTTCAGATATGGCCACTGCAGCTTTTAGCCACTTTACATCAGCTCAACAATTTCGCAACCCGGTTGTATCTCAGAATAGCTTTACATTCACATCTCCAACTCAGTGCAGCACTCTAGCTACTCATAGACCAAGTATTCAGGTTAGAATTTTGTTAGGCATGCATTTATTGCACAGTGATGCCAATATAGATAAACAAGATTTAGGGAAACCAAGTCCTCTATTTCTAAGAATAGGCTTTCACACTAATAATCAACTTATACATTAATGCATTTTGAGTTTTTGTAGACCAGTACCTAACCCTCCAAATAATTGTACTTGTATGTAGTATTTTTAACCAACACCTGCCTAAACTAATTTTGATGTCAGGGAAAATAAGAAATCAAACTGCCTTTTACCACTCATAATTTAGGAACATGGGAGAGAAAAACAGTTAAGTTTCAGTAGAGCAATGTGCTCACAAAAATAGTAAATTTTAGCAGTTAAGTGTGTGGTAGGCACCCTGAATGAGAATAATGCATCACAAAGCTTTTCATATAGGGAGGGTTTCAGGGACATTGTAGTGTCATGTCGGCTGCTGGCAAAATCTTTACGGTATTAAAAATGTGAATGATTTAATGTATTTTGGTTAAGGGGAAAGCACTGTATATTAATGAGTTTTCTTTCTATTTCTGTTTCTATCACTATCAGTGTATTAACATGCTTTTTTATCATGGCTTGTTTTGTGATTAATCGGGTGTGAAATTTGCTCAATTTCTGATGTCTGAAGCTGAAGTTGGCCCCCCTCTAGACTGAAAAATCAAAACAGAATTTCTTTATTGGAATTATTTCAAATGGATTCAAATAAAAGCAATGATTTCAGAGATATTCCATGTGCTACTAATGACAGTATTGGCTCTAGCTGTGATGGGCGACATAAGAGTCAGATATTAACAGTTTTAGCCCTTAGCTAGTCATATTGTTACATTCATTTGGGAAAGGGTAGAAATCAAACAGATAAGACAAAGATTGGATCCCAAATACCTACCCTAAAGAGATTTAAATATGTTTGTATAGGTTCTGGATTATTAATTAATTTGAACAAATTGATTGAATAACTTCAAATGAAAACGAATTATTGATCTAATTTTGTGCTTTTCCTGTTGTATTTTTTGTATGACAGAAATTTGAAGTCAGGGAATGAAAAAAATTATAATTTTCAATATAACTTAAAATAAGTACCCAAAACGTGACATTTTCTGAAAAAATATTGGTTATAGTTATAGAACTTGATTTTATGGGTAGTTTGAACAATTTATGGAGTTGAATGCAGAAGTTGAGTACAGGTATCAACATGCATAATATAGAAACAATTTATTTTAATATCATAAGATACCTTGTTCAATTTACTTTCACAATATGTATATTTGTAAGGGTCTCTGAATTAATTTAGCATGGGATTTTGTCCTTTTTGACAAGCATAAGAAAATGCTAAGAATGGCTTGACGCTACATAAAAAATGCACTTGACACTTATTTATAGGGTTAAACAAATAATCATACATAAAAATAAACAAAGACATGCATTTTTTACTTCATTAGACCACCAGCCCAATCAATATGAGTGCGCCTGGTGTGGGCACATCTTGGCAGCACAGCATCCCTGTTACAATGCCTTGGGTTGATATGGTGTCCTCAAGAGGAGCTGGAACAACTACTGTGTTTACAGGTGTACCATTGCCAGCTTAGTAAGTACCGTATATGAGCTACCATATTATGTGTTCTTTGAATTGTTAACTTTCTGTGTCTGGAGTGATGGTAATCAGAGGAATGGACATCAATTTTTCTTGCTTACTGTTATATACTGTGAACACCTGTTTGTTAAAAATTAAATTTGATAACTGGAAATTAATGAGGATTCTTTTTAATCGGAATATGATTATTGAGGTTGGAATTCGATTAAATTTTGTAATTAAGATTTATTTTTTCATTTAATGCTGAAGCTTTATAGAAATAGTCACTATGGACTAGTTTATCGCTAAAATTTACTAAAAATGAAAAAGATAAATTTTTCTTTCAAACATGAACCACTAATAGTCATAGCATGCTCAAATAAAAATAAGCTTAGACTCAAATTAAAAAAAAAAACAGCTTTTCAGACAAAGAATTTTGGTACAGTACTAAGCATAGATAATTCAAACTCTTTACCCCTAAAAACAATGTAAAAAATAATCTTTAACTCTTTACCGCTAAAAACAATCTAAACAATAATCTTTTGTGCCACAGTGGGCTTAATAATAGAAAACTTGTAACAGTAAAATTAAGTTTATTTTTTGAAATGAATATCATATTCATAATCTATTTATTGCTTACTTTTATTTAGTCCAGATCTTCAGATGTCCTGCACAGTTCAAATTAAACCACCAAAGCGAAAAGCTATTGATAGCCCAGATGAGTAAGTAGTGTTTTTATTTCATTACTTAATCAGTCTATTGTATCCTAGTTTAGGAGTTGACAACCTTTTGTTTGTTTGTAAAGAGCCAGTTTATAAATCATATCTGCTGAGAAAATATTTAGGTAGCCATATGCTGGGTCAAATTGTTCAATATTTTTATAAGTTAAAGAAAATAAATAATATTTTTAATATCTGTAATGAAAAGAGTTGTATTTATTAATAAGAGTAAGAGCGTCATGTTACTCTGATGCTGCAGGTTTGTCAACCACCAGACTTGTTAGAAGTTCCTTAATATAAACGGTACTCATTATGTTATGCCCAGGATATGTTAGGCCCAGGATTTTCAAAACATTTCTGACTGAAACCCTTTTCATAAATCATAACAATCAAGAAAATGTTTTGGGACCCCCCAGTCTGGGGCGAATTGTTTACATGTCACTGTCACAGCAAGATCTGCTCCTTCAAAGTGCTGTTTGGGTCCCTGGGGTCAGAGGTTGCTGAACACTATGATTGTGGCCAAAGTGTCCCCTGTTTTTGCTTCCTGTATCAACTGATGAAGAATAGATAATAGATACTGTATTATAATTTTAAAAAAAATATTTTTTTTGTGTGCTCCATTGATGAAACATTCCGTCTTACTGATACTGACTGATTATCATTTTTTTTGCATGGCATGAATAAAAGCAAATAACATGCATAGCTTTTTTAATAGATTTTCTCTTACATGAGCGTCAAATGAGTTTAATTTGTGAAGTGTAGTACCGGGTACTGTACAGAAAATAAATGGCTGAAGTATATTCCTTCGGTCGTCAAAGAGATTGATGAACATTGAAAAGTTTGCCTGTTTAAGTCTAATGTTTTTCTCACTCATTTCGCAATCATCATTTTCACTATATTATTTTCAAATTCTGTTGAACTTGATTCAGACATTATAAACTTCAGTCATAATATGTAGCATTCTGATTAGAGCAGATTGTGACGTAAGGAAGTATGAACATTTAAAAGTCCCTGTAGTTTAATTGTAAAATTGGCAGTTTTAAAATGTATCAATGACCCACTGCAATCATCAGTGTAGATATCTTGCTAATTTCTTTCATACCGTTGCCCTCCAATTGGAATTAAACATGATGCATGTGAGTGTTGATGTATTTAATGCCCCTTCAAAACTGTACCCATTAATCCTGTTTCAGGGCTCCCATGTCCAAAGTTTATCTTTGCGCTGATCAGTTTGCAAACATGACAATTACTACACAAGAGCAGCCCAGTCTTGATCAAGTACAGGCAGGGAGTGATGACAGAGGAGTACAAGTCTTCATAGGTGCAAGAGGGACACAGTGCCGAGGCGATGCAGAAGCATGGCAAAGATTTAGAGATATTGAAAACACGTATGTTTTATACCATTACTGAAAATAGTTTTTTTTTAGTGAACATTGAATTTTTTTTATTTTGCTCAATCATACTTGCAGAAATAAAAATGGCTTTCGAACTAGTATTAGCATCTCTGCATGTTTACAACTACAGTCATCCCTCATTATAGTGGTTTATCAGTTCCAGACTCGACCATGATAAGTGAATTTCCGCAAAGTAGGATTCTTTATTTATAAATAAAATATTTTCATAGTTGGAGAATATAAAACCTGTTTTGACCCTCTAATGGAAATATAGTTTTTAACATTATTAAAACCTTCAGGGGGTTGCCAGAATACATAGGGCTACATTCCATATGTAAAGTAATTTTAATTGTAATACAGGGGTGTGTATAAAGTATAATTGACTCAGACAACTGAGAGGGCGCTGTATAATTTTCACTACCTCGAATGAAGCCACAAAAGTGGAAGTGGGAAGGGACGACTGCACATGTTGAGTTTTATACCCAAGCAGTAAAATCTGACAAAAAATAAGACCTTGATGTACACAATTTTTAGATGTTCATAATTCATGATACAGTCCTTCACAACTCTTTAATACACAATCATAAATAAACAATTTTGATTTAGTTATTCCGTGACACAAACATTTACCATTTTGGATTTACATTTGTTATTACTTGATCATGATTTCTTTTTTTAGACTTACTCACTTGGTGACACAATCATACTAATCTCATACTAAAGTGTAACTTATTCTTCAGGCTTGATGTCGATCTAGAAGAAGATATTGAAGTCAACATGGCTGCCTCTGACAACTGGGAGCCTCATGGACCCTGCTTTAAAGTTGCCCAGGGTATCTTAGAGAATACAACACACTCTCCTATCTTACCACGCAAAGTAATGGAGGAAATGTTAGTTATTCTATTTCTTCTTTTAAATTTTACTTCTTACAGTACATTAAGTTGATTGATTTACATTGTCTTACTTATTTAGTCTAAGAACAAAAAATACAATGTCATTTACTTGAGAGTACCATAGCTTAAGAGGACCTGTTCATCAAATGATGATGCTCTCCTCCTTGTGACAGAACTAAATAGGGTGTTTAAATTGGAATTTAATGATTTCCGGATTAGTTGTAAAAACTAATACTCCGTAGTGTTACTGCTACTGTAGTGTTACGTGCTATTTTTTCCAATTCTAAAGAAAAAAAAGAAAAAAAAGAATCATTAAATGTAAACAATCAGTTCAAGCCTCTTGCTGGTCATAAATCTGCAGTCACTGACTGTAAGGGTGAACGATTTGCATTCATCAATTCATAAACAGAACACAGTGAGTTACGCTGTCTAGTTTAAAAATGTGTGTATTTATTGCACTGGTGTTTTCTTGTACAGAAATTTAAATTTCACTAAACCAAACTAAGATAAAACAAGAAATGAATTTGGCAAGCTGCCATTGGAAGTATGACTGAATTAACTGGAATTTGTGAAAATTAAATTTTTCCATTTTCAGCACAAAGCCATGCATGCAAATTGTTTTGTGGAAGTCACCAGGGGAGCTTATTCGAGATATTAAAGAAGAAAACCAGTCCAAATCATCATCCACCACCACGACCATCACCTCAACATTCACAAATAGCAAATTGAGCAACTTCAGCAATATCAACAGAACAGAAAGATCTCCATTAATGCCTAGAGATAACATTATGGAGGCTGATGGCTCAAACATGACAGTGGCAAGTCCTGACCTAGCTCCACAATTGCAGTCTCACTACTCTAATGACTTGTATACATCATCTCCAGGGTTCCTCAAGTCTTTGCCTTCTACACTCACAAGTTCATCTACACTAAATGAGCTCAGCTGCAGCAATATTCAAACAGATTTCAATACATTTGAAAACATTGATGATGAGATGCAGTTGTGATGAATCATAAACATTTTAATTTTAAAAAAAAATATACCATAAAATTTAAGATTTAAAAAAATGTCTGCATCAAGGCATTTTCAGATCTGTTTTCATTATTTTCATATCACGAAGTACTGTCAACAGCTGTCACTATCGGTACTAAATAATTTCAGTATGTTGTTATCTCCACATAAGACATCATCACATTTACAAGTGATTTACTCGAGTTATATTGATTAAATGTGAGTGTAGAAGTTGCTGTATATAGTATTTTTTTAATAATTTTTTTTTCCATTTCAAAAGAAAAGAAAGATATTTTCAGAAATTATTTCTTGTCATATTAAACAGTTCCAACAGTCACAATGATGACCCTTAGAAATGAAAATAAAAAAATAAAGTAATTTCTTTTAGCAGTTTACCTGCTTATGTAAATCTTTACCAAAGAGCCATAAACATTATTGGAAAATGGTAATTGTTATTGTTATGTGTAACATATAGAAAATGTAGTTCAGAATTTCCAAATTTTCTATTCCGTAGTGTACAGTGTGAACTAATTCGTTTTAAAAAAAATTTAAAAATGTACCAGTTGCCACACGATTGCATCCTAGCTGCACTGTGCAATAGGTAATGCTATTGTTATTATAATCAACATATAACTGTTAAAAGTAACAGATAATTGCTTAAAAATTAGATAATTACTAAAGTGACTTTGTCCTCTACCTCTACAAAAAAGGGGTTGGATCATAGCTCTTCTTTACATTGATTTGATTTGATTTTTTATAGTAACACTTAATTTGTTTGAACGCAGGTTGTTAATTTTTGTCTTGATTCATTTACCATAACAGATTTAGTTAAAAACATTATTAAATCATTGAAACATCATGTAAATACTGTACAAAAAATGTCCCATTATTAACATTTTCCTATATGAATGTAATTTCAAGAATGCTACTTGAAAAAACTACTTATAAAACTACTTATATACATTCGGTGAATGTATTTTATGAAAAGAATGTTTGAATTTTGTTGGTTTGTTAAGAAAGATTAATTGTGACTCAAGTTTGATTGCCCGTTTAAATAGCTCTTTTTCATATTTTAGGCAAGTATTGACTTTATGGTTTCAAGATTCATTGAGTTTGAGTATTTTTAACCAGATGAAATTTTACAGTATGGTAACATGAATACAATTTTGAAAAATGCTGACTGTTTAAAATTGATAATAACAAACCCCTCATTGCTAACTTTGATGTAATTAGTTCTTTTTCCCACTGTAGTTATTACCTGGAGGAGATTACTTAATTTCAATTGTGCAAGGAGCATGTTAATAAACTGAATGCAGTCGTCCCCATATTATACTGTTCCGTTAATAAGAGGAGTGATCGTATTACTTTTATCATTTAATACCGGTACTCTTACCAGATAAATCATTAAAATTACTAGCCAAACACACTTTTTTTACAACTTGTGTTTTATATATACAGTGGAACCACGCTATAACGCGATGATAGGGGTCCATAAAATCGGATCGCGTTAAAAGCCGGGTTACGTTGTTTACTTTTGTTCTTAGCACAGTGAAATTCCCTTACGTATTACTATTTATAGTTCTACCGGAAGAAAGCCTCGTTTTCTGCATTAATTTTGAAACTAGTTTGAACGTGGTGCGTTTAGGGGCTCATTTTCTACAATATTTTGAAAAGTTGTGATTTTTTTGCTTTAAAAAATGGCTTTCCAAGCAATGGATAAAATTTTCAAAGAACTTAGGCCTGATGGAATTGATGAATTTCAAATTTCGGGAGCCATGCTAAGACTGCGTTATATCCAAATCCGCGTTTTGACGAGGCACGTTATAGCGGGGTTCCACTGTATTTTGCATTACCAATTCAAAATTTAAAAAAAAAAAGAACTTATTATAGAAAAGCTTATTTGTAACCTTTTAAGTCTCATGTGCATTTCACCAACAACAAGCTTCTTGTTACTTTTGCTATAAGTTTTCTGCTTTTTTCATCTTTAAATTGTTTCATGTTCATTATTCAATTATAATACTGAATTTCACACGGCTGCAGAGTCAGAGATTAACCACTTCAGCTATCATGAAAATACTCATGGACTCAAATTACCAAAATGAAAAAGAAAAAAAACAAAAAAACCTGACACTTTAGACCAGGCCAGCACAACTCAAAATGTAAGGCGGGCCATAATACTTAATGAAAAACTTGTGAGGGCTGAAAGAAAATAGGACAGGGGGGAAAGCTGTTAAGGAAATAATTTTTAAAATGGAATATTTCATAACTTCGCAGGCCGCAACGTGGGTGCTGACGGGCTGTATGTTGTGCGGGCCTGCTTTAGACTATCAATGACTATTGAAAATATTGAAGTTTACTTCTTAAAAAAATGTAATATTTTGATATTCCTGTGCTTTTTTAAATGTATGAAATAGAGAACAATTTCTTCCTTGTGTATATAATAGTAAAATAGACATTGCAGCCCTTGTATTTATAGTCCTTGTTAACAACATAAATATCTGAAATTTGTTCAATTTTTAAATGGAAATCAGAAATTGTTTCAGTGCCTGATATTTGCATGCATTTAGCATTCCTCAATGTTAAAAAGTTATATCTTTTGTGCTGAAATGTGAATTTATTTTTATGAGTAAAATGTTAAATACAAAATGTGAAACTTGAGTGATTGAGTTTTACCATGTTACTTGTTACTAAAAATAAAAAATTCTTAAAAAAGTGTACTTGTGTGGTTATTAGTATTGGTAATGATTTCTAATGGAGTAAATTAGTGAGTATAATTAAAATGTTTGATTAAAAAAATGATGTCACAGAGTACTAAAAAATTAATTCAACCCCACTTTTTATTGTATAAATATTTATTTACTAAAACCTTGTTACTCATTGTTACATGCACATTTTAAATTTCACAATACTTTCTTAAAACAATACTTTCTTAAAACTGAATCAGACAAAAAGGGCAACGGGAAACAATAATCAGCTTTGCAGGCTAAAAATTTAAATATTAACTTTTTTTACACACACCATTTTCTTAAATGTACATTTTTAATGCTATTTCAAAACAAATTGTTAAATGCGTTTATCAGTTCCATGCCAAAAAATGTGTTTATTAAAAGCATCTGGACATGCTTCAGTATGATGAATGAGACAGTTCCATTTACTATTCATTTTTTAAAATCTATAAGCATATTTGATACCATCCATCCCATCCCATCCCTGTGGTGCTACAGCCCATGTAGGGCTTTGGCCTGCCTCACTACTTCCTTCCACTCAGACCTAACTAATGCTTTTCTTTTCCAAGTTTGGATTTTCAGTTTTAGATCTTTTTCCACATCATCCATCCATCTAAGCCTAGGTCTGCCTTTGAGATATTTGATACCAGTAACAGTATATCAAATATGACAAGATTTGATTAAATATGATAAATTCAGTATCCACGAAAAATGATTTTAGAAAAAAACAAATATAATCTTAAAACTCAAAGCACTAAGAAGTCACTTATCAATATAAAATTTATTATTACCATTCTCAGACACAACACTAATAGCATGAGTAACCAAAACTATGATGTCAAATCAGGATCATCCAACAACACCAAGTAAGGTTCATTTTATGCAATAAAAAAAATGGGTTGAGAATAAGATTCTATGACTGTGTGTAACTTGTGTTCTTATGCTTTGTCATGACCTTTAGTCTAAGATGTACATTTTAATCTGACCAAAACTACACCCCCCCCCCCCCAATTCTCTCCAGTGTATACATAATAATAATGGTGTCCCTTAAATAAAAGGTTACAATCAAAGCAATAATTCCAGTGGCGTAGGAAGGTTTGGGGTTCCAAAAAGGGGGGGGGGGGGGGTCTGAAACAAGCAGAACTTGTTTCTTAATGAAGAGGAGTTGCATTTTCAGCCAAATGCAGTTCCATTGAAAAGGGGGATGTGCAAAATTTTTGGCCTGCTCTGGGATTTTAAACTGACCAAAACTAACCCCCCCCCCCCCCAATTCTCTCCAGTGTATACATAATAATAATGGTGTCCCTTAAATAAAAGGTTACAATCAAAGCAATAATTCCAGTGGCGTAGGAAGGTTTGGGGTTCCAAAAAGGGGGGAGGGGGAGGTCTGAAACAAGCAGAACTTGTTTCTTAATGAAGAGGAGTTGCATTTTCAGCCAAATGCAGTTCCATTGAAAAGGGGGATGTGCAAAATTTTTGGCCTGCTCTGGGCTATGCCAAACCTAGTAACTCCACTGAATGAGTTTAAAAAATGCAATTATCAGAATGCGGTTTTTGAAAAAGAAACTTAAATTTATATTTCCCGGTCAGGGAGTTTACGTGCTGAAGGTAAAGTTTAAAAGTTTTTTTTGTGACTCAGTAATATCAGGATGCCATATATCAAACATGAATACAGCTCTAATGCCACTGTCATCTGGTCCAGAGTGATGGACTGAATGTGGGAAAGCATCATTGAAACATATAACCTTTCTTTCTTCCCAGTGGCAAGTTTTATCACCAACCACAAGAAAACACTCATTTTTTGGAACTTTTAGCCCTGTAATAAATACAAGAAAAATGAAATATTCAAATATATAAATAATTAAATTAGAATGTTTTTAACATTTAGGGGAAAAAAAGTAAGGGACCATCCATATATTAAGTACATACTGCTTTAGGTTTTGCATTTGGGTGCAAATGGGGGAAAGAGGGGGGAGGGGGGGGAGGGCATAATGTGTATGAACTGTTAATGCATAAATAATTATCTAGTCCATAAAAAATCAATCAAAATATCACAGCATTATAACTTAAATATCTCTTTAGCCTAAGAGACACCTTTAGTCTACATTTCTTGTGTAAAAAAACTTTAAAAATTTTCGGCTGAACAAAAGATGGTCAGTTAACACAGATAAAAAAAAAAAAGCTTATTATTATTAGTATATACTTCAATTGTCACTAATCCAAACAGCCAGTGGCAGCCTCAAAAAGGGGGTGAAAACAAGAATTTCATAATTAAATTGGAATGGGCAATTTTTTAAAGCTTATTTTTATTTAAGTCGTTCGGGTAGTCACTGCTGGCACTAAGAGAGGGGGGGGGGTAAACAGGAGCTATGTGGATAGTCCTTATAATCTTTTATATATATTTTGATTGTGGTATTTCCTACTTCCTTTTTACAACCGGCCCGGCCCTGCCCTACTCAACATGTTTTATATTAATAGTACTGAGTGGGGAAAAAAAAGCTGTCATGCAGCGAGCGTCATTCGTAGCGGTTGAACTCGGCTAAAAAAGGTTTAAATTTTTTTTTTCTTTAGGGAGAAGGCGATTATTTCATATATTATAACAGAGGAACAACCAATTAGAATTATCCCCTAAAAAAAGACTAACCCAACGGCAATAATCTCACATGATCCCACAGTCTGAAAAAACTAGGAAGGTAAATTTATTTATTTTATTATTATTTTGTGCTTTGGTTGGGTGGGGGGCGACGACGAGACAAGTAATGGTTTTCGGAATCTTGTTTTAAACCGGTTATTGTTTATGTTATGAAGATTTATTTCAACCTGCTCCTTATTCCAAGGTCAGGTTGACATTATAATTGATAAGTTCAAGAGCATCAGTTGAACTTTAATATTTTACAAGATCGTAACTGGCAGTGGACAGTTTTGATATTTTAAAAGATTGTAACTGGTAGTTAAAAGATAATCAGTTGGTAGAACTGACAAAGCATCTGTTCTATTTGTATACCACAGTTTCGTAGAAGAGGTCGACAAACAGAGGTAAATTATCCCAAGTGGGGTCAAAATAAAAATCCTGCGGCTAATGAGCACCCATTAGACATATATAAAACAGCAGCATCACTGGGGTTGGTTAACAATGGGGGGTTAAACTCCTAGTAATATATTTTATTAATGTATTCAGAACATGTTACTCAAAGTTTGTATTTTTTTTCTAGTCAACGTCATATTAGGAGGTACAAGACATGCAGATGTGAGTCTGTCCGGTTACCGTACTATCCCTCCAAGGTCAATAGCGTGAAGACATCTGGTAAGCATACAAATGATTATCAAGGGATTGTACTGTAAGAGACTTTGTTCAGGGGACTAAAAGAAAATTCCATTTCTGCGGAGAAATCGTTCACTTGCTTGTATGACAATATGACTTTTGTTTTGCATAATATATGGCTGGCCGCTAATGACATTTTTGGGGAAAAATTTAAAAACACAATACATTATAAATTGCTACAAATGCAACCTAATCACATCAGTTGTCATATGCTTAAGTTAAAATGTATTATCTTATGAATTAGCTTTCTAATAGTTATGAAATTAAAACTCACCAAGATGACATCTGATTCTACAATTTGAAGAGCCACAATGAGTAGCTATGTCAGTGCCTGGATGAACCACTGAAAAAGATGCTCCTCCAAAAATATTGTCCTCCATAAAATATGGTATTTTCTTTAAAGCTTCTGATGTTTTAGGACAAAGATCTAGAGCTTTACTTACTCTGCCTTGATCAATCAGTTGAGCTATTTCCCATTTACCGGCTGCAGTTGTATTAGTTTTCCAACTAATAGGACTTTTATGGTTTTCATACAAATTAAAAAATTCTCTATAAATATCTTTAAAATAATAATCCAAAATGTGTAAGGCGGGAAACTCATTTTCTGACCAAAGCTCTTCTTCCCTCAACCCTGACATTTTAAATACAATAGGTGTCGAGATTTTAATATCTTTCATTTCTGTGCCAATTTTCTGGGATACATCCTTTGATGATTTCAAGCTATTAAGAGACTTTCTTAGGTCCAATGACAAATTTTCAATATCATTCTTAATAGAAGTATCATTTTCAGCACAGTAACTTAGCCGTGTTAGTGCTGTTTTGAGTACTTCAATGTTTTTTGAACATCTAATGCATTCTGGTGAAAGACATGATCTCATATTAACTGATGATCCATTTGAAGATTGTGAATTTAAATCCAAAGATGCTGAAGGTTTTCTTTTCTGCTCATCTCCAAGCTGGGTGAATATTGAAAATCCCAAAAGAGTTTCTTTTTTTAAAACTTTGAGCATAACTAGTATTATTAGAAATGTCAAGGCCGAAATAAAACAACCTCCAATTAATATCATCAAATCTTGGGTAATCATTGTTTCAGTTCAATCATCACAGCTGGAATTGAGGCTGTAAATAAATACAATAAAATAGTACATTGACTGTTATTGTCATTTTCTTTTGTTACATTGTAATTGTAGCTTATGTGGATATTTACCCTGGGCCAGGTATAGGGCTATATCACATATGTAAATTCTTAATGGCATGCAGAAGCCTACCCAATTTCATTCTTTCAGTTTTCTGGTAGACTAATCTAGGGTCAGGGTAAAATATGGATTTACCAGAACTGTTCAATCCAATCTCAACTTTAATCCGTGAAGTTGAGTCACTGAGGAGGCCTTGAGAAGGATTGAGGCTGAGAAGGATTGAGGCTGAGGTCTGAGAAGTGGTTGAAAGAAGGCCTATAAATTTATTTACTGGACTAGTTTTACTCATTAGACTTACTATATAATATTGCAGCCCACTATTGTAATTCAAACAGCATTTTAATGAGTTTTTTATGATTGTTACTACAGTTACAGTTACAGGTAGGCAGTGAGAGTGGCAAGTGGGTCTACTAAATAAATAGTATCCATCAGGGCACTCCTCAGAACAGCAGTCCCAAATTAAAAATAGAATACTTTTCGTTAGAAAGTGTTTGGCTCCAACCTAGTAGTAGTAGCCACCAATAATTGGTGATGTAATTTTTTTCTTCAAATTTTGTATGTTTGCAGACTAATAATTGCTTGTAATAATGTTAAATAAACAATACCATGGGATGGCTGGCAGAGCGCAAGCGCCGGTTCATATTTCAAGAAACGCTTTGTCAGGAAACAAACTTCTACAAACTTTAAAAATGTATGACTATGAAACAATGTGGAAGACACTCAATGAAGTCTAAATGCTTTGGTGGTAGCTTGCTGAACATCGTCTAATATAAAACAGCAATTCAAAGTCAACAGAGATAAAAAAAAATCACATTCTCTCTTGCACTTGCATTTTTTTTTTCTTTTGTTTTTACTTTTGTTATTTCATTTCAGGAGATAATGATGAAGAGGCTGACGAAGATCAAGATCTTTACAAAAATGAATAACCAATATTAAATATATTATTATCAGTGGCCAGCAATTTCTAACATCAATTAATAATTTAATGTTAAATTACTAATGACTAATGAATAGTAGTATATTTTTTAATTTGGGTTTAACTAAGTTAAACTAAGTCTATAGTCTATACTAATACTAATACAACTCTATACTCTGATATACTCTATCTATATACTATGAAATATTAGTTCATTATTTTTCTTTCCCTTTTTTCCTCTGGGCTTGTTTAGAACTTTCTACCTTACCACTTACTACACTCCAGTAACACAGCTACCGGGTACTTGCAGCGTAAAATTATTATGCAGCCTTCTCATTTCTATGGTAATATATTAGGCATATTTTGTTTACAACCAGCGTTACCTCCAGTTACCGAAAAAAAAAAGAAAAAGCAAGAACACTCAGAACACTAAATTCTGCCATCACGTTTGGTTTTGATAACGCTGTTCTCTGGCTTGAGCATTTACATTTTTTTATGTTATCGACAACGTTTGCTATTTGGGATTTCATGCATCTAAGAATCTATCTATCGTCAACTTAACTAGGTAGTCTGAAGTCATAGAAAGTTGAGTTTGTTCTAGTCTAGACCTAGTCAAGGTGTTCACTGTGCAGTAGAAGAGCAGCTACTAGAGTTTTTACTATATTTTCCCGTCTCTCACTCACGAAAACAACAAAAATGACAAAACAAACCTCAAACAAAAAAATAAAGGCGATTGATTATAAGTAATGGAACCTCCCCCCCCCCCCAAGTATTGAATAAGGAAAAAAAAAAGTAAGATGAAGAATTAATTACGAAAAATAGTTAAGTACAGGAGAGGTAGGCTGAATATTTTGAGGGCATACGAAATGGAGACAATGGACAAGAAAGATTATCATCCTTGTATGTCTGTGTTGTCTTTCTGGTTTCCCTTTGTGGTATGATCATTCGTGCTTTGTTCCTTTCTTCGACAGTCTCCCTGCCTCCCTGCATTCATTATCAAACCAGACTACTCTGTTGTTAGTTTGCTGGAATCCTACTTTTACTAATGATCTTTTCATAGCATTTTCATCCTACCTTACTGTTCATTTATGTTGTTTTCCCTGCTTGCTTCTCATAGATGCTTCTAGTTGTGCTTCTAATTAATTTTGGTAAGATTTTGCAGTTAGTGGGTCTTTGGTAAGCTTTTGGTAACCATATAATTTCTCTCTTTGATAACGGCCATTGTGATTTATGCTAATTCTTTGCTTATATAATCCATGCAAGTAGATGGTCAGAGTCTGCATCTGCTCCTCGATTATTACGTCTAGGATGTCTGATCTATGCCTCTGATCGATTAGAACATGATGAATCTGGCTTTGGGTGAATCCATCTGGTGAGATCCAAGTAACTTTATATATATTTTTGTGTGGAAACGTGGTGTTGCTGAAATCCTTTTTACCTCTAGATGCAAAGTCTTTGAGTCGGATCCCATTGTCATTAGATTCTTCGTGCAGTCTTTCCTTGCCAATAGTTGGCATTTAACACCTTTTCATTTCCTATTTTGGCATTTAAGTCTCCAATCACTATTTTAATATCGTGTTGTGGTGCCTCTTTGTAGATCTTTTGCAATGTCTCATAAAAGGATTCTTTATCCTGATCTTCTGTATCTTCGTTGGGAGCATTTACATTTATAAATGTTTATTAAACTTTTTCCTTGCACATGCAAAGAACACAATCTTTCATGTTCTGGTTTGAAACCCATGACTGCACTGACAGCTTATTTTTTCACAGCTAATTCTGTTCCTAGAGTGTTGGTGTTGTTACCACTATAAAATATGGTGTATTCTTCTGTTTTGAGGATGTCTTAATTTTTCCATCGAATTTCTTGCAATGCAGAAATAGATATTTTATATTTGACTAGTTGATTTACAAGGTTGACTAAGGCTCCTGCTCTAAACAGGCTTAGTACAATGCAAGTCGCAATCCAAAAATCATGTCCATATCCAAGGATAGGTTGAATTCCATTGGTAACAGTCTGGGTTTTATTCTGCTGATTGGCTTTCATAACATTAATTTTTTAAATGGCCGGGTTGTTAACCCTGCACACAACCGTCTGGGGGGGCTGCCCCTTACAGCTCTCTAGGTAGCTGCCTTAGTTTTTAGGTAAGATTCCCTAGTCTTTGTGGATCACTCCACTTCCTACAAGGCAGTAGGTTCTGATTTTAGTCCGCCCCGGGTATTTTATTTCCTCTGTACTTGCATATCTGGTGGGCTTTCCCCTAACCGCCACCAGGGGACGCGCTCTATGGAAGATCAGTATCTCCGCACGAGCCATCAGATGCCTATTAGAGAAATATTATGAATATAACATCCCAGTACATCAACTAAACGTGGACTATAAAATGGCCTATGACAGCATCAAAAGATAATATCTATATGAGACTCTGGAGTAGTTTGGCATACCCAAAAAACTAACAAGACTGATACAAGTAACATTAAACAACTCAAAAAACAAAATCAAGGTTCAGGGAGAGTATTCAAGGGTATTTCAGATGAGACAAGGAGACTCACTGTTTTGTATGCTATTTAACCTAACATTAGAGAGAGTTATAAGAAACATACATATTGACACCCCAGGATCAATAACAGGATACTTTCTGAGGGAGACCCAAGATACACAACTAATAGACACTCTCTACAATAAACCCCTTCAGTATACCTTGCATATGCTGATGACATAGCAATGTTAGGGAAAAGTAATTAAGACTTATCAAAAGCCTTTATTGAATTAGAATACGCATCACTACACTACTTTTGAAAAAGTTAATTAATTCAAATACCCGGTACCTGGGACCTTAATAAATGAAAGAAATGAATTACTAACAGAAATAAAATAAAGAATATCGGCCTGAAACAGGGCATACTTCAGCAGTCAGAAAATATTCAAAAGTAAAAACATTACAAGAAAAACAAAGAAAAGTATATATAAAACTGTAATGAGATCATTTGCAACATAACAAAAATGGAAGAAAACCTATTGAACACATGGGAGAAAAAATATATGGACCAACAAAGGATGAATATGGATGGAGAATAAAAACCAACCAGGATTATCAGGATCCCACACTAATAGCAGAAATAAAAATAGGGCAGGCTATGCTGGGAGGGAGACTTAGAAAGAATGCCAAATGACAGATGAGTGAAGAAGATGCACTACCAAAACCCCGGTGGAAAACAGCTAAAAGGCAGACCTAGGCTTAGATGGAAGGATGATGTGGAAAATGATCTACAGCAGCTGGGAATCCAAGCATGGAAAAGAACAGCATCAGTTAGGTCTGAGTGGAAGGATGTGGTGAGGCAAGCCAAAGTAGTGCCACAGGGATGGATGGGAAAAAATAAAATAAATAAAACTTAACAGAACTGCATTCTTTGTTTACTTCTGTTAGACTACTTCATTCCAATTCCATTAAAAATAAAAAAATAAACTGTTTATCTGCATGCCGGGGAAAAACCCACATAACATCTGTCAATTCTACTCATAAAGTTTTTAAAACAAAATGAAGTCACTCATTAACTTAATGTAAATAGCGCTTTACAAAAAAAAAAAATACACCTGCGTTAAAAATTGTGCATCCTCAAATAAAAGAAAAATTACAATTTCATTAAAAGAATGAAAACAAACTGGGATTTAGGTTTGAACGTTTTTTAATATAACTAAATTTTTTAAAAACAAATAGTGGAACAAGATATGTTTAGGCTTGAAAAAAAGACAGAAGAGTTCAAAGGAACCTTTTCCGCTAAACGCTTTCTTCAGCTGACAATACAAAACAAGAAATAACAAATTATCTGAAATTAAAAGCTTAAGTGTTCACAGATCTCAATGTAACTCTCTCAGTCTCTGTGTAGAAACAAAGGAGCAAAATTTATCAATGGAAGTTAAGTTGTTCAAAAACAAAATGGTTTTTGCTGTCAAGGTAAAAGAATTTAAGTATTATTAATAAAAAAATTATTATTTTAAAATGCAAAAACTAAGAAGAGAAATTGAGGACCACTAGTAAGGGAGTATTTGATTCAATCCATATGGTGCAGAAAATCTGAATTAATTTCTTTTCATTCTTCACTCATGCTGGTGTATTAGTGAAAGAAATTTGAGCCACTATCGATACATCCATCTGATAGTGCCCCTATTGGGAAGGGGGGCAGGATGGTTTGTTTTGTTCAAAGTCTCAAAGATGCTCACTGAACCTAACAGACAGCCTTCTTCATATAACAGGAGCTGCATCTTCTTCAACCAATCAAATAGCTCAGATTTTGACTGATATCATGGTAAAAATCCCCTTTGAAGCCAATGTATTCAGTTTCCAGTACATAGGGACAAGTTATATGTTATGTTAGCAATTGTTTAATTAAGCAATAAATATAAAAAGTACTAGTACAGTATAATCACTGGAAACATTTCCAGTAGCAATGACAAGTTCAGGGAAATATAAGTCATGGAGCTTATTCCAGAACAGATATGTAGCTAATTTTACCGGCCAAATTATTTTTAAAAAAACAACACTTGATTTTATTAGTGTTTCTCCTTTTCTGACAACTGCCAATAAACTGTACAGACAAATGCCAGTACATTGTACAGACAACTGCCAGTACATTGTACAGACAACTGCCAGTACATTGTACAGACAACTGCCAGTACATTGTACAGACGGGCTACACAACTTGTACATTGAACAGACAAATGTAAATTCATTTTACATCGGTTACTGATGGTTAAAAAAAATTACTGAATGGCATAAACAAGATCTGCATGTGTTGTGGTGCAAGCATAAAGATACAAGCAAGTAAATGAAATGGTTTTAAATATCGTGTGTTTCATCATTACACAATATATTCAATATATTTCATCCTCAGACCTATGAATAACAGTGAACACAGAAATCAGGGAGTTCTACCCACTGTGCCTCAAGGCTCATTGGGTTTAAAACAATATATTTCATCCTCAGCACCATTGAACTCAAATATCTCAGTGTTCTTCCCACTATGCTTGAAGGCTCCTTCCGGTTCATGTAAAACAACAAAACCCACAAAAACAAGAACCAGGAAGCTGTTCATAACAATGTTCCCTTTAAGCTGCGTGGCTGCGCAGCTATCTCACAGACGTTGCACGGCAGTTTTGAGTATCTGTGCAGCAAATTTCCATGCAAGTTTGTGTTTGTGGGCCGTAAAATTTTGCAACAAAAAAAAATGATGCTGTAAATACAAAATTGTATCATTTTGTACACGAACCAGCAAACCTTACAGGGAACATTGGTTCATAAGATCCCACACATTC